CAGCAGCATGTTTAGTATATTTAGCATCTTGGCAACTGAACACCCTCTCTTAGCTGGTCTAAAGTGTCACCATTCATGAGGGAATAAACTGACATCAGCACTAAAGCCCAAGATAAGGTGTCTTTGACCCTTGTGCCAGGTGTGGAGGAAGCTTTCAGCTTTCAAGATTTCATCTTGAAGAGCAGTCAGAGCCCTGACAGGGTCTGTAGCATCCTCTGTAGGGTAAACAGGGGAGTGGGTGTTGATGGTTATTCACTGTCACCCTCCTGGGAGGAAGAGACACCCAGTGGAATTTCCCACTGAGCCACCTCAGAGTGCTGACTTACCGTGGAAATGCAGGCATGTAACACTTAACTTCCCTTTGCCCTCCTAACCAGAACATCCCCAATTTGGTAAAGCAAGGAGACAACCACTTGAGAAACTCATCTGTTTCCCAAACCCTTTGTGGGATCCCAGAAACTCTTTAGTGACTTATTTTGTTTGGAAGGGAAGAGCTACCATTGCTCCCTGCCTTGCTCATTTCAATTAGCCCCATGAAACTCATCATTGGGAGAGGCTGTGCTGAGCCAGTCAGACATTTGGGGCAGGTTATGTTTGGTGCTTCCCATGCCTTCCTCTCAGAGGTTATTTGATGGACAACTGGGGATATAGAGGAGCCTGGCAACCCTGATGCTTCACAGCAATGTAAATTTCTTTTCCACGTTTCCGCTGGGTTTGACATTTTACCCGCCTGGCACTACTACTGCTCTGAGGACAGGATGTGCCAAGAAAGAGAACGTTGAGGACTGCTCAGGTTTTGAGTTGTTAGCAGTTTTAAAGGGTAGCATGGCTGATGAGAGGTGAGAAACAGAATAATTCAGGCAACTGAACTGTACAGAGCTGGCTGGTTGAAATGTGTATATTATGGGCAAAGATCTACAGGGGGTTGTGAAATACAATGAAATGCTGGGTTTGAACTGTGATGATGCCCCAATACATTCAGATAAACCATCATAAACCACGTGGTGGCCGTAGTGACAAGTTACTGTTTTGTATCATTTGAGCAGAGGTTGGTTGTCAAACCAACCCCAGAAGCAGCCCCAAAGCTGCTGGACCAGTGGGAAAAGCTGGCAATCTCACTGGTCTTGGTGGGTGCAGTGAAGGGCACAGAGGCTCACTCTGTGCCAGGACTTTTTGAGCAAGACAGTATCTGGTGTGAAAGGCTGCAGGATTACAGCTTCTAAATAAAGCTGTACCTGTTGCTGCCTGAGGGCAGCAAACTCTGCCTTATGCTGCCTGAGACTGAGCTGTTATGCTAACATAAGATGTCAAATATTTGTCCTCTGCTCCACACTGTCACACTATTTGATGAGCAATTATGTCCTGTAAGTTTGTCAGGGAGTAACCACCTGGCAGGCGTAATTAAACTGCCTATGGAATAAATAGCTTGACATCAGAGAGTTTGTACTGGGTACTGGCAAAGAAGACAGCCCTAAGGCCATGCAAATAATGTGTTTATTCCTCCTGCATTCAGCAATCAAGTATCTGTCAGGCCATTTGCCAGGGGACTGCCCCTGTATTTGGCAGCCCTGAGGATAGCGGAGCTCCAGCTGCAGGGTAAAGAGAGCTAAATCTTCCTGCCAAAGCCCCCAGAATGCCGGGGTGGGGGTTTCTGCATCATGGTGGGGGTGATGCTCTTTGTTTGCAACACTCACATCCATGTTTCCCAGAAGGGTGGTCTGCTTGGTGAGCACATCTATATGTGAAGGCTGATAACTTCTTAATTTCTGCTGTAACCATGGCAAATGAATTGCATCAGGGTTTGGGAATGGAAGGAGTTCCCCCCACAACCTCAATACATTTGGCTCAGCTGAGGCTGAGGGACACAGCTGTAATTTACCAATGTGGTTATAAACATGTCTTACATTTATTTAGGGATATAAGCAGAGATTTCCAGACCCTGCCTTGGTTCCACTAAATTTTGAAGCCTGTAAGAAACTCCTTTAAGGCAAGACTCCCTCCTTCCCTTCCTATTTTTTTTTTGTCTATTTCTGTTTTAACAGAAAGTTGATAGCAAAAAGCTATTTTTTTTAAAGTTCCATTGGTGTAGGAATATCCTGGTTTATATGTTCTTAGACATCTCCATCAATAGTAAAGAAAGGAGAGCTCCATTTGAGATGGTCAGTAGGCAAAAAAATATGAATGTGGACAGATAAATCCTGTCCCTGGATGGATACAGCTACATACTCACAAGCTGGGAACATTGCCTGATGATATAGGGTTAAGAAAATGTAAATTAATATTTAATTACTTTATCCAAAGCGGAAGAGCTTGGACAGGAGGGAGTCCTATTTCAGGAGTGTAGTCTGGATGTATGAACTCTCCACACAAGACTAACGTTAAGTAGATAAAGTGCTATATGAAGAAACTTCTGGGCCGGCTGACAAGAGGCATGTCCAAGTGCTTTGAAATAGCCCAGGGTTTTCCCCAGATTCTGCCAAGGGGCTGGTCTGAGCCCCAGGGGAGAGCAGCCTGCTCAAGCTGACTGATCAAGTGTGAGGTGGGGATAAGTAATAGTGGCTATTTATACTCTGAAAGTGCACTGTAGATGGAAGGTGACAGAATATAGACCCTTAAAAACTCACGGGGAATGAAAGGGAATTCAGTAAGCTGGACTGAAGACAATAAGTAATGAAATGTCCTGGCATGGTTCACTGAGCGACTGGGAAGTTCAGGACATCCTGACAAGGAGAGGAGCATGTGCAAGAAGGTTCCTGTGCCTGGGTGCACATCAGCTGAGACAGAACTGCCAGTGCCTCACACCATGGCCAGGGACACAGAACAAAACTGTGTGGGAGAGCAGGCCTCTTGCTCCCGGTGAGGGGTTTTTGGCAAGAAAGCCTCTCCCAACTGCCCCAGGGCTCGGAGGGATGCAGGTTTCACAGACATCCACAGCACCCTGCTGAATGAACCCTGCCAGGTCCTGCTCACGGGGCACCAGCACCCACTGGGGAAGCAGCATCTTAGTGAAGCTCCCTGGCTGACAGCTGTGGAAGGCTGCATCACCAATTTCAGCTCCTCCTGCTGCAGGCAGAACTCCTGCACTCATGGTGACACCGTCCTAGAGTCGTGGGTAAACAATGAAAGATCCCGGAGAAATTGTACAAGACCTTGCACGCCGGGACACCAGCAAGGAAATGCAGGCTGGTAAAAGGTGAAGGCGAGGAGAATGAAGATTAGAACAAAACAAACAAAAGCTGGAAAAGCCTTTTTCCTTAATCTCCAGACTTGGGAGTTGAGCCTGTAGTGCCATCAGTGCAGCCGCTCTGAGAACCATCCCCTCACAGGGGCAGGGCAGGGAAACCGGAAGCTTTCTAAGGCTGATTTTTTAAATTTTTTTTGGCAACACACAAGAAACAAATCTAAAACCTGTGTTAGACACAGGAGGAGTGGAATAAATATCTGTTCATTAAGAAATATATTTGGGTCAATGTATTGAAATACTAGGAAGAAACACATGCTGACATCTTAGACAAAAGCATTCAAATGGATAGACAGACACTTAACATGGCTGCACCAATGTCTGGTGTACTGCAGCACCTCCTGCAATTCCTCTTCTCAGTCCTAATATTTGTGCTTGATTCTTGCTCCACCCATTCTCAAATGATAAAACTTTTATTTTCATGGCTAAAATTCAGGGAACAACTGAATAAACATATTAAAGTGATGTTTAAAACCTGTACTCTGGGTTTTGCTGTAGTGCTGAACTATAGTCTCATATTTTGCATTTCAATAGCTCTTTATTTCCTAGAGGTCAGCAAAACTGCATGCCAGCTCCATGCTGCCTGCAGAGGAGGCAGGGTTTCCAGCTGGGCTAAAAGGAAACCAGCCCACTGAACGCTGCACTCTACCTTATTGTATTTGTCATAGCCTTGGTGCAGTGAGCTTGTTCTGTCTTTCCCTGTTCAAATCAGAAAACATGCTTTTTATCCATACAGATGAACCCTAAGGAAAAAGAATATTTAAGGATATTTTGGTTATTACACAATCTAATGTGTCCTCTTTGACCTTCCCATCTTAACAGCAGCACCTTTGTGCTCCTACAAACCCTATACATGCTCAGCACATCAATTTCTGTTTTTCAATAATGGATTTAGATCCATGTCCTACAGGGACAGGAATTTAGCAGCCAGCATCACATGCCCTTGACCTTTACTAACAAATATGGCAAACTGTCAAAGCTGGGGCTCTTTCTGCAGCTCATATGGGATCCTGTAATGGCAATAGATTAGCTCTTCTAATCAGCAGAAGCTGCAGTGAGGTGACAGTTGCCGAGGATGTATCTTTTTGTGCATGGGATTTGTACCAGAACATGTCTGTGCAGTGCTGTTGGTCTGTGTTTGGCTGTTCAGGAGAATGAGACAGTTTGCAGAGGGGACCGACCACTCATGCTCAGCCCTCACTGAAGCAAACTCCTGGCCTTTGCAAGGATGATGCTCTGGGGCCAACTGCAATTTAGAAGGGTTCAGAATCTTCTGTACACCACGGGAGACAGCAGCTCTGGCTGAGCACTGCTGCTGCAAGGGGGTATTGTGCAGTCCATCCCATCCCTGCCTCAGGGCTGGTTAAGCACAGGCAAGGGCTCTTCTGCAGCTGAGAAAATGCCTCTGCCACAGCCAAGCTCTCTGCCTGGCTGTTGCCATTTAACAGAGGGACTTCCCCTTGCTAGAGACAAGACCGGGTATCACAGATCTGCTGTCAGGTCCATGCTGTCTTCAGACGGAGAAAGAAAAGGGAGAGGAACGGGATATGTTCCACACATATTAAGGAGGGCCAGTCCTTACCTGCATCTTGAGACGACCACACAGGAGTTGCTGAAGCCTTTGAAACCTCTGTGGAAGAGATTCAAGTCCAAGGACAAACAATATATGTAATTTGAAAATACAAATTCCTCTCACACTGCCCAGCTGGGTTTTGTAACCACAACCTTCCCATATTCACATTGGTCAAGGACCCACAACTATGTGCCAGACACAGCTTTTATTCTCACAGTCTGAACAGGATTCATGTGTGTTAACATTCTTCATACAAAGATACATACAGGCAGTTTCTGTCACCAGAAACAAACTGGCTTCAACTGTTCACACAGTAACCATAACAAATGGAGTCCTAAAAAGCACTTTAGGCCCTGCATTGTAATAAAACAAACAAAATCTGTGCAAGGAGAAGACAAGATTTAAAAACATGCTTATTTAAAATAAGTTTATTATAATGAAATAATATAAAAGTCTGTCAAAGTCTTAAAAATGCTCCAAAAGAAGAGACAGACACTGTATGATTTGAGAGATGATGCAGACTGGAAACTTCAATGTATTTCAGATTGAACTGCCTATGACAGCACAATTTGTGCAAAGCTTACACTGAGAGGTGATTTGGGCAGCATGAACAAGCCCTTAGAATTCAGTAAATTTAAAGTGAGACAATATACCTTCACTTTGTTTTTAAATCTATTCCAGTATGTATATATTTTAGTATGCAAAGTAAGGCTTACATTAAACTTAGCTTGACATTGATAAAAATGTATGCCCAAAACTAGCTTGAGAAAAAGAAAAGGAAACCATAAAAGTAAGCTGCCTTGGTTTTCAGTTTAATTATTATATTCTGGAATGCAATTTACTCATTTAGTTTCAAGTAGACATAGATCTCAAACTTTCAACACGGCTTTAAATAAAGAAATTAATAACTTTTGGACTCCTTAAATGCTGAAATGCAAAAGAAAGTTGACATAGTGTTAAGAAGAAATAAGGAAATAAAAACAAGGAAATCTCATATTTAAAAAATCTGGCTTTAGCACATTCGAAGTATGTAGGGGAGAAATCTTACACCAAGAAAGGGATATTAAAAATGACAATCTAAGACTGCATTTTGAAGAACTGCATGCCAGTGGGACGGTGCACGTGTGTGTAAGTGAAGCATATGCCTATGTCATTAACTTCAAAGCAAGTGCTTAAATCCTTGTGTCAACTGTGAGCAAGATCACCTACGGCCTGGGTTTGCTCAGAGCCAGTAAGTGCACTATGACACCCCTCCTGCACCAGGGAGGTTTTATATTGCTTGGAGCAAGAAGAAGTTTGCAGGGTTTGTTCACCAGGGGGCTACAGAAGGTACCAAGAAGGCATGAATTCAGTTATTTCCACACTGCTTTTTTGTTTTGTTTTGTTTTGCTATCTGTGCTATGCAGGGCAAGAGAAGAGAAATAAACTAAAACAACAAAACAAAAAAAACTTGTGCTTTCATTCCTGAGGCAGAACACCCAAGTCTGAAATGTCCCAATTTACACTGCCTACCAAAGAATTAATTTCTGAATATCTGAGTTTATATTTGCATGCCTTATAAAACATCCTACTTTGCTCTGACAGCAACAGCTTTCGTAGCAGATGACAGTGGATAGAAAGGAAGGACCAGGTGGGGGAAAAGGTCAAGGCAGCCAGGTACAAACAAGCTAATGACCTTTCCTGGTATCTGAAAGACAGTTTAAGCTCCCCTAAAGGTTTTCACAAAAGCTGAAGTGACAATGAAAAGAAAGGGTTAGAAGGTACAGCATATGGACATATGTAGTATTTTTCTCTATAATGGCCCAGACCCCTTTGCCAAAGCAGGTTGCAAACACCTGGGGCAGATTTTGGGCATACTTTTTATATGTCCAACCAACTAAGCAACACTTTTCAAACTAGGAAAGATTTTAAAAGCAAACAGCTGTTAACTTAAATCCTGATGATGAAAAAGCTTTTAAGTGAAGGTACATGGCCCTTAACTTTAAATGCATCTATTAAAGGGAGATCCACAGCACAACAGTGTCAAGACATTTCAATGACTTACACTAAAGCACTTGAGAATGCAGTTCATTTTCCACAATTGTAACATCACAGAACTTCAGTATGGAACTGAGTATGGTGTCTTTGAATAGCAGAGGGGACTCCAGAACACAGCTTTTTTAAAAATAAAAACCATAAAAAAAACACAAAATAAATAAAATAAATAAAAGTATCCGATTGCTAAGCAGAACTCGACTGAAATTGAGAGTTCTGTTCTAATGACAATGACATTTATATAACAAAGATGTGTTCATGATCTCTATTCAAATCTGCTGATTGCAATTATTCAGTACTAGACAGCACTTCTATCAGATTGCTTTGGGATTTACCATGTCTCAGCAAGGATGCACACTGTACAGACACTGCCTGTCTCATATACTGTATCAGACTTCTACGCTTAGCTATGCTAACTTCACAAAAAGCAGCCTTTCTCCCCCCCTCTAGGGTAAAGCTGTGATTACTCTTATTTCACCTTGGATAAGTAAAATCCCTGAGAATATGCAACTGTTAGACATTGAAGGAAACAGCCAAAAGCATTTCTAAAGGAAAGGGATGCAAAACTTCAGACTAGCACAACTTAAGAAATCAAAGCAGTTCATGTGAAGTATAGAGAGCCAAGGTGTTGTTATCTGAGAGTCATGTGGATCTCTATCAGTGTGCAGGTCAGTTATAAATTTCAGCCATTAAAAAAAAAAACACAACAAAGAAAACAACCCTAACTAATCAACAAATCAAAGAGATGAAAACACTGACCTTCTCTCCAATTCTAAATTTGAAGGCCAAAAATTAGTTGCTTGTTCTCTACAATTATTCTAATGCCATCCTCTCTGCCCGCCAAACTGACACCACAGAAAAAGACAGTGAGTATTCTACCAGTGCATTTGCTTCCACTTGGTCATCTGGCCTACTACATCCTGAGAAGTGTAACTTGGAGTTCAGCTCTGCAACATGCTGCATGGGTTTCTTTCTCAGTGGTGGTTTGACTGCAAAGATAGCATTCAGAAGTCTTAGAAGTGCTCAATGCCCTGCAAGAGCAGTGCATGGAGAAGTGCAAGTTTTGAAGGCAAGGAGACCTTGCTCAATCCATTCTCTGCAAGGCCCCTGTTTAACAACAAGCACAGAGGCATCTTCTGGAGCCACGATCTCCTAAAAATGTTCTCAAGCACCAATTCCAGAGTTCAAAAAAATAACTTTACACAGAAGAGCAAGATGAGAAAGCCTGCTCTGAAGCAGGATGCCATGCCAATTAGAGAACATTTAATGGGGAACATTCTCCTTGCTTGTTGGATGACAGAAGAATGGTTGAACTTAGTAATTGGAGCTAGGGGCCGAATGAAGCTCTTGGCCTACAAAATAAAGCCTTCTGACTTTTTGAAACAAATTTTGCATCTGATGCACACCCAACAAACTAGTGCTTCTCCTGATAGTTAAAAAACAAACCAAAACAAAACAGAAACCCCAAAAATACCTCCAAATACTCCGAGCTGAAAATACTTTCCTATTACTAGAAAAACTTAAGAACAAAAAGGAATTCAATTTTTTTTGTGATCTGACAGTTAATTTCTAGAGAAGAGGTATCTCTTCCTGGTCTTCTCATAACCTAGTTGGTATTTTGTAGAAATGTGGTCTCCATTATCTTTCCAGACCATTCAGCTAAAAACTGTTACAGTGAAGTTTCCCACAGAACAGCTGAAAATTGTGAGGAACCACACAGGGTGGAAAGTTGGTTCTTTTCCTAAGGGGTGGTTTCTTTGGATTCATGCTTAGAAGCAGCAGACAACCGAATTCCAAAAGCTCTCAGCTTCATTTTTAACACTGTGAATAGTGACATAATTCAACACAGCTTTGGTCAAAAGTTTTGACTATGTACTCATACACAAACTTAAGAAAATCTACAAAACTAAAACCTGATTATTTCTGATCCCTATTGAGTACCTAGGAACTACAGATGGGTAAAACCCAGAGAAGATGACAGAGCAAGAAGTCACACTATTTAAACAGTCTCTTGGGATTCTGGAGGTGTCCCAGCTGACTGGAAGCTGGCAAGCATTGTCCTGATTTGCAAGAAGGGGAAGAAGGGCCCTGGAGATTACAGGCCTGGCAGTCTCACTTCAGTGCCAAGTACAATCATGGGAAGGACTATTCTGGGAGGTATTGAAAAACATCTTCACAAATGACTTGGACACAGGACTGGAAGAGATGCTAAGTAAGTTTGCCAACAACACCAAATTGGGAAGAGCTAAACTGAGATTCCCTTGAGAGCAGAGAAACCCTGCAGAGAGACTGACAAATTGGAGAGGAGCAATCACCAAATGCATGAAGTTTAGCAAGGGCAAGTGCCAGATTCTGCACCTGGGTCAGGATAGTCCTGATTGTGTACGTAGACAGGAATGAGATGCTAACAGACACATTTTTATCTGTATCACTAAAATGAGAAAAAGGGAAAATCTTTCTTAATTTTTAGTCACTTTAAATAATTTCAAAATTCAAGATTTGTAATTGGTCCCATATTTAATAGCTCCATCACAAATTTTAGCTTCTGCTATACTTTACGCATTTCACGTCCACTTGCATGAAGTTTCTGCCCATAATGACAGTCTAGGAAGGATTTTAATGATATCTGCTTTTTAAATTGCTAGCTGTACTCAACTCAAAAGCAAGTATTACAGTTTTGCATGAATTTGATTCAAGAAACCCCTAAAACCTAAAAGGTTTTTATGGCAGGGAAGCCACAGCACATACTGGGAGCTGGTCAGGGAACACAACATCCTGTTTCAAAGGCTAGACCTTGGGGCCACTCAGACCACCAGCCACATAGACCTGTGGTGAAGATCTCAGTAATATTTGGATTAAAATGTTTATTTAATTTAATAAATATTTATGTCATGCAAATATATTAATTGCATTAAAGAGCTTCAACCCAAATTGAGGGACAAACTCACTGCATTATAAGCTGGTGTTTAGCTGTCCTTCTCTTCTGCTACCAGGGTAACAATAACACTCACTTACCCTCCTACCCAGGAAGTGGGCACAGGGAATGGGAAAGTCAAGAGGCAGGTGCACCTGCCTGGGTGCCATGTTGGTGGCCCAACAGCTCAGCAGGTCTCTCCTCAGGTACAGCAGCAAAGGCCAAATGCTGCTCTGTTGCTTTTATGAGGTGAAGAGAAGAGGAGGTGCACAGGCAGAAGAGAAACAGTCAAAAACATTCACCACAGACATAGTAATGATCCAAAGTGAGACAGTACCTCTGCATTTAAATGCAACACAAGCGTAATGAAAAGATAAAAATCACACATACCCTTCTCCCAGAACACTCAACACACTTCCCACCTGAAAAGATACAAAAAATGAACAGAAATGATGTCCCAAAACCAAAATGGAAGAAATCTTTGTTAACAGACACAGTCCCTGAATTTTTAAGATGTGGTCTTGCTGTAGTTATACCACCTCATCTGACTCTAAACCATGTACTTCATAGAGAGTGTCCAAGATATTTAGCTGCTTTTCCATGGCTGGTAAGTAAATGTTGAGGTCTCTCTGCATTCCTTTGTAAAATGTTTCTTCCTGAGGATTGCACTCATCTACAGACAGAGCTGCCACAAAATCTTCATACGTTGGAGCTGCCCTTAAAGCTAACTGGGAGAGGAAACAAAGCTTTTAGATTTGCAGCACAGAATGGGAAAAGAAATACAACTAAAGCCATTAAAAACTTCTAAGACTTCCCTCTTTGCATTTAGACTGCATAGCTTCAATTTAATCACATGTACATAATTAAACGATGAGAATTTTAACTAGAAGAAAGGTTAACTTTATAGAACATTTATTTTTTATTATTTTTGTGTAGATCCCCAGTTAAAGATATTTTCAGAGATGCCAGGCTTTTAGAAAGTATTTGTGTATCATATTTTGTATAAATAAATTGAGCACGTGAGGAATTAATTAAATACAACCCCCAAATAAAGTATAGTTTGTTAGGGGAGCTCCCAACCCAGTGTTACACACCATCACCAAATTCTCAACATGCTCTTCAGAAAGCTCTCTCCAACAATTCTGCTTCTCTCAAAGTCATGATTGTTTGCATGAGATTTTCCTTTTTCCTTCTGTAATTTCAGTGATAATTTTCCCTGACAGACACAAGGGGGAGCTGCCAGACTGGACGAAAAATTTCCTGTAGCCAATATATTCTACTTCAACTCCCCACACACACTGCACTAACCTTGTCTGAATGTTCATCATATTCAAAGAGAGATCAATCTTCAAAAAAGCAACTTCAAAGCCTTTTTTGTCTTCATTTACTAGCCCTGCAAGACTGTGCTCAAAAGCACATAATTAAAAATTTGTTCATACAACTGCAATCTGCCTGTTTCATCTCCAGATATCAGACTCCACCCTGAAAGTCCAGTACTAAACACAGTGAAAGCCACAATCCTCACTTTGAAAATACGGTCTGGCAAAGGAATCTATTCATTTTAATACTTAGAATTTTAACACAGTTTATTAATTACACACAATATAAGATCCCATGAACAAGACCCCCAGCTCTATCAGCAGCCAAGATAAAGACTTACCGCGAAGACCCCCCGGACAACCCAACCATGGTGCTGCCGTAATGTCTTTCCATAAGCATTGTCTTAAAGGAAAAAAAAATAAAAATCAAGAGATAGATGTACACCAGTTTTAAGTTTGTATCACAAAGAGAACACAGAGCTTAGAAATGACTATTCAAGGGTATATTCTTGTCACTCAATGTAAATAATGGCTGTCTCTGAGTACCAAAGTTATGACTGAAAGGAGATGACAGATTTGGGATTTCTGCACTGGGGTCTCAGCTCTGCTGTCAAATTCCCTTCAACTCATCCACAGCAAGTAAGTGTTCTAACAGACAAGAAGGCCAATGTAAAGTCTAAGAAAATACAGAGTGAAATTCCAACAGTAAACCAAAGCTGCAGTGGTGGTACAGATATAGAAGAGCTTTTCAGGTGAAGAAAGGGGACAAAAAAGTAGAAAAAAACAGCAGCATGACTCTGCTGCAGATACAGAGCAATTCAAGCAGTTCAGTGCTGAAACCTTCAGACTCGGGTCAAATAAGTGCCTAATCACTTTCCATGGTGTTTAACGCCCATATCTGGTAGCAATGTATTTACAGCCTCACTTCCAAGAGCTGCTACTGCAGTGTAGTAGTTCTTTTTACTAATCCTGTAAGGAAACTGCTTCACTGTGTAAAAGAAGATAATATAAAAAGCTTTAAAAAAAGCTGTTTTGAAGTTGGTTTAAAGGATTATTACAACATTATACTGCATGCATATAGACAGGGTCTTGCCCAGGTATAGACAAGTCAAGTGTAAGGTGGGGGTTTGTATCTTGTTTTGTACTTGATGTGGCCAGTAGCCTGACAAAGAAAGTGTCAGAAATTGTGTACTTGAAAAAAATCCTTCTTCTTTGTTACAACCTCCCTTCTAATTCATGCAGGCAATTCACAGCCAAATTGGCAAAGAGGTGATTTCAAAGAACGATGGCAAATCACACAAGGAATTAGAAAACTAACAAAACAGCAATTATACATTTGGGAGCACTACCACTGCAAACCAGTAGAGAAGTCTGAATGAGTCAAAGCATTTGACTGTCTCCTCTGCCAAAAGTATGCCAATTAAAGGAATCTTTATTTGCTAATGAATTGACATTTACCAGTTAACTAGTAACCCATCTCAAGGCAGCCATTTAAAAAAAATTCAATTTTCAAAAATGTTATGTCTTAGAGATCACTTGCCTCATCAGCCACTGAAGAAAAGAAGACACAAGTTCTAAACACAGAGGAAAGTAGCCAAGTGTGTGAATTTAGAAGCACATGAAGAACGAAGCAATTGGCACTTACTCAGAGCTGTTTGGATATTCTTTTCCCCATTCTTCACTTCCGTCAAAAACCCTTTCAAGAACTTTAAACCTCTGCCAGGATGAATCCATGAAATAAAAAGAAACCATGTTTATAAGAAAGTAATCCAAAGTATAACAAAACCCCCAAAGTTGCAATACAACTCCAAAGTGCAATAAAACTTGGTATTAAGGAGCCAATTTCAATCTGAACAAAATTGCAGCCACCTCCTCCAGCCTCCCTCCAATTCTAAGGGAAAAACACTTTGCTGAATATTCCTGCTGCAGCTTGAAGTATCTGCTTGGTGCCCTAGCCAAGTAGGATCAGTCATTCACTGTCATTTCACTGTTACTGGAAAAAGTTAGCCTGCAATGTTTTTTTCAGGCCTTTTGGCAAAGTTGCAGTGATACAACCACAGAAAGCACATTAATCTTGAAGCTGGCCAGTTTGGACTGATGGACCCTGTGGGAAGTAACCAGCCTGCACTGGTAAAAGGCCCCTCATTACACCAGCAGTTCACAGAGAAAGCAGCTACAAGGCCATTACCTTTTCAGCCATAGGAGAGCCTCTGTAGCAGAGTTTCTAACTTGTGCTACACCTGCGTTCACTTCATGGAGCACAATCTTCTGCAGGGTATCAAACTCTTCTTTGTTGGTTATAAATTTCTGGTTTATTTTCTGGAAAGAATATAATAGGCAAAGCTTTAGGTCTTTTAAGGCCCAACAAAGGCTTATAAATACCCCTTGTTTACCAGGACTCTTTCGTGTAAGAGATACTACAGATTCCCAAGGATGTCACACACTCCCCCTGCCATGGCATGTCTGCTCTGACATGCTGGACATGCCATCCCGGGGCACACCTCAGACATCTGGCTAACACAACCAAAATAAAGCATCTCAGTCAAAAATTTACATGGGACTTATGATTTCTATCCAACAAAATGCTTGAAGTTCCCATGACATTCTCCCCACTGGAGGAAAGGAGTTAATTCAAACTGCTCTTCAAGCAAAGTCCCATTTGCCCAGAGCTTCAACTACAAGCAAAATTTACCTTCTGACCACTGCAAATGATCACTATTACACTTAGCAGTGCTCAGGGTGTCTATGGTTTCCTTTTATTACCAAGTTTCTATGCACAACTCCTCATACAAACAAAAGAGACAATATATAAGCAACATACAAACAGATTTTTCTTCTACATTAAAGGAGTAGCTGCCTATCCCTTGACAATAAATATTCTATGTTTTAGGTTTTTAAATAGCATTCTTTTCTCTTGCTGTTTTCAGTTTTCCAGTGGCTACCTTTTATAAGATAAGCAACCAAACAAATCTGATTGCGTACAATGTTCCTTTAGCATACACTCAGAAGATACCTTTTGCTTTTGTTTTTCTTTTCTTGAAGGAAAATGTTACAAAAAGTCTTGCTATGAACACATTTTGTCTCATAACTGGTATTTCAAAGGTTCTTGAAGGTACTCAAAGCTGGAAGAACTTCCAGAACAAGAACCAAGCCTGCATGGGCTGCCACAGTCTGCTGAGAAACTGCTTCTTAAACTGCTTCTCAATCCTACTTGATTGAACAAAGGGGTTTTTCCCTCATCCCCTCCATTTGTTTTACAGGTTAAAGTCAACATTGCTAACATCACGACTTACAACCTATACAGCTCAGGATCAAAGTCATATTCATTAGGTGTAACAGATGTTTTACTTGGCAGTCAATCAAGTATTTTATAAGTTTGCACACAAGTGGATTTATTAAACACAGCATGTACTGTCAGAACAGAATTAGGGGCATTTCAGTGCTATAATCTGACAGATGGTAACATTATCAAATATTAAATAACCTTCCAGTATTGGCTCCTACCAGAAACATTCTTGAGCACTAGTGTCTAAAGTAGATATTTCGTCTAAAAAATGAAAATCGGTGCTAGAAATAAGTTGTTACCTTGATATTGCCTACAAAATCCATTTTAACTGGAGCAAATACAGTTGGTCCCAGCTTGTCTAGGGAAAAAAAAAGCCATATTTTAAAATTGTGTCTTTCTCCAGTTCTCATGCTTTAGTAAAAATAATTTCATTTACTCTTTTAACAATCCCTCTAAATGGCAGGAAAATACTAAATTAATGACAAACCAATGTTTTTCTCTGGAGTAGAACCAATTCATCCCAATTGATACACGTGTTAAAATACTCTGACCTACAGTACAGAAGATTTCAATAGACTGCATGCTCACAGGGCCACCACATTCACTAGATGCAGGGGTCAAGCTGGTGAGATGCTGTGCTGGGTGAAGATCAAAGTCTTTGGAAGAATCAAATACAGAGTACAGCTGGTGTGCTATACTAGACTGTAAAGCATAAGCATCTATGCTGCTTTTTTGAGAGGCAGAAATCACTGCTCCATACAGACACCCAGAGAGTCAAACAGCTTATATGTGGGTCCTATCTAAATGAGAGTGGATCCTCTTTAAAGCAAAGGGGTCAGAAACATGTTCTGGTACTAGTCAAACTGATTCTGCTGGTACAGGTTCTACTATATCACTTAAGTAAAGAAACAAATTTTCCAACCCAACTGCTTCACCTTTACTTGCTGCTAGCAGCAGTCAGGAATCAGAAGAAAAAAAGCTGCTTACCCAGAACAGGCACAATTGCATAACACGACTCCAGGAACTCCTCTGTTGGTATGCCCTCTTCCTCCTGAAGCTCAATATCACTGAACCTGGTGTTCAGGACAAGCAGAAAATATTGTTACCATAACAATTCTTTTTATGTAACTTCCAAAAGCAAAATTAGACTTCCGGTCCAAGCCATTTACATAGAGGTACAATTTATAGACCTGAAACCATCAACATGGCTTTTGTTTTACTATGTTAAAGTAATTGACTGCAGAGAACACACATTGGGTGGTGTGCAAGCAAGGCCTGCAAGTACAAACAAGGGAAAACCTCCCACTTAACTTTGTACAACTAAATTTAGAAAAGATACCTTCTTCTAATTACTGTGCTGTAGACAGTCTTGGCAAATAATCTCAGTAAATGCAGCTTTACAAACAGAAAAGTATTAAAAATAAGTCAATTTAAGGCTTAACATTAAGTTGCAATAATCCTTTTAATTGAAATCTGTACTACCTATTGCTCATGACACTGAAAAAAGTAGGAGAATCATTTTCATTTCTTTCTTCCTCACACAGATTCAATCCACTTAAAGAATTTGTTTCTGACTGCAGCAACTTGTGGGCACCACAGCCTTCTACAGCTTGCAGCTTGTCCTCTCCATTGTCTTTAATGCCTAACATTTATAGGAAACAAAAGAAAAACAAAACAAACAAACAAAAAAAACCCCAGTTACATACACATATACATTCCTTTTCATCAAAATGCTTTTCTATTTGAAGGAAGGCACCTGGATACCTGGGTAATGCAAGTTTAAAAGCATCCCTGCCAGCACCACTACTCTCACTGTAGGTTTGGTAGGTGCTCAGACCACATCTCAGTCAGTCCCCGCCCCTCCGCCCCCAGTTCTTTTAATCTGACAAACCAAGCACCAGGCTGCAGTACAGGTGAGCCCACACAACCTCAGCAAGGGCAGTCTTGTGAGAAAGAAGAGCACTGAAGAAGCAATTTGGTGCAGCAGGGAGCTGACTCATCTCATTGAAAGGAAGATTACTTCTCACATGGTTGTAACTTTTCCAGTATTGTTGAAGTGCCACAGTGCATTTTCAAAAACAAAATAATTATAGCAACATGTTTACTCCTTCTGATAGGTAAGCAAACTGGCTGCTTAGATGGACACTTCTATGGTATCAAAGGCTGCTATGTTCTCCTTGATTTCTATAAATATCTTCAAAGTTTCCCAGAAAAAGATCCAGGTACATCCTCCCCACTGTGGTCTATTTTATTTCTTCTTTGGGGCCAAGTACACCTGTTTCACACACAGCACAAGGAAGACAAAAGAAAGACAAAATCTTTCACATACATCCCATACATGGTAAGACCTTAGACCTCATGGAGAGCTTCAGAGAACAAATAAAGAAGCAAAAATGATTCATAGCATCTGCATCATACAATCACAGCTACAGCACATCTTGCTGTCAGACTGTCAAACTACCATCCAGAATTTCCCAGGGAACCTGTCTTTCCAGGAAAGGAATACTTTCAAGTGTCAGTGAGGATCAGAGAGAGACCTGAAGTGGAACTGAACTTCTGGCTGAAGGGATCAAGCTGTAAGCAACTCTTTAACTCCAGGTGACAACTGAAAGCAGGATTACAGCAGTGCCTATTAGCTGCAGAACCACTGAACAAACGTGGTGCTGGATGAAAAGAAAACCCCTCATACCCAGACCAGCCATTCTCTGGCCTCAGACATCACTGACATTCACAAGCGAAGTGTCTCTGTCAAGGAATGACAGAGGTTTGAGTGGTGCCACTGATCTGTCCTTCACCAAGCCACACAGGCTGGGGAGTAGAGAAACAGCCCAGGTCTGCAGTGACACTGCAGGACTGCTATGCAAAAACCCTCTGTCGTCTGAAATTTCAAACTCAAACACTGTAAGCCCTAAATGAACAGAGAAATTTGCTGTGGAACTTAAGTATTCAAGCACTTTTAAAGACTGACTGCTCTTAAAAAAGGGGAGAGGGAAGAAAAAGTATCTGAGACAAGGCAGAGCTCTTGGGGTCAGAGGGAACACCTAGCTACAGCCATCAGCAAGACAAAGCCCCTGGGCTGGCTGGGTCAGCCTGTCCTATATGGATGGCCCTGCACTAACTCCACCCATATCCTAACTCCACCCCATACTGACAACAAAGCTCTGCAGCTCAAATATGTGTAGCCAACAGGGGGTAGCCTTTTCTCTTTCATGCACAGGAACCACAGTACTGAAATGACACCAAAAACTTGAATTAGTTTAATGCCCTTGCTTTAGTGCCAACCCCAAAAATGGGAAAAACTCCAAAGACCCATAAAGGCAAAAAGATTATCAACATTAACTTGGACTTAAAAACTGCTAACTCACTGACTGCATATTTATGTTTTGGAATAACAGCTAGGCAGAGAAAGCCACTGTTCAAGAACAGTACAGTCCATTCAACAGGATATGCAAAAATCATGTTACATGAATAGTTATTCAAATAAAGTTCAGCAGCCATTAGTAATACAACCACATTGGAGGGAATTTTATACTGAATTAGTTCAACAGTATTTCACTGAAGTCACATACAAATCTGACTTTCACACTATTGCTAAGATAAAGGAAGAAATAAGATGTTTTTTATGATACCCTTAGATGCAGAAAAGGGTTAATTTTCTGTAAATATTTGTCAGAGCAATCAAGAGTGACTAAAAGTACACACAAAGTTTCCACAGCTCTTCCTGACACTGCAGCCCTACATACCAGCAGGGAATAATGTGTCTGCCCACAGTACATGGAGAACCCAAGCCCTGATTGAAGCCAGGCTTCAATCTGCACCTGGAGAGCCTCAACTTGTCCAAAAACAAATTTTTGATTTCCTTCTCCATTCAGTCCCAAGTTAGCCATCAACAAAGGCAGCAGGAACTATGCTGAGAAAACTTGCTAGAGGCAGTATCAGACTAAAATACTGATATTGTGTCTCCTGGGGCTCAGGGATCAGCAATCTCACAGGGAGCCTACACCTTCCTTAATTTACACCTATTGAATAATCATTCTGGACAAAAGACTATGCATATACTTACCTGCCAAATCCTTTGCTACATGATCTTCAACATAAACATCACCAGCCCCCTCATTTGTTTCCAAGTTTAAACATTCCAAACTTTTAATAACTGCTTGCTCTTGATGCTTAATTTCTCCTTTTACACAGCCATTTTCACAGGGGTTCAATTCCACCTGCCTGTAGAAAGGGAAAGAATAGTACTTAGTGCATAAAGCATTGCTTGGTAAGCTTCCTCCTGTGAACACACAAATAACAAGAGAAGAATAGTTGACAGAAGTTATAGGCTGTCACAGACTGCTCTGAGCAAAGAACTTGTCTAAATTAATACCAAGAATGAGGCAGCTTTTTGCAGCAAAGAGGGAGGATTAAAGATTAAACCTCAGCTTGCAGAGTTCAAGTATATTTACAATGATCTTGACTAAAAAGGTACTTAATTAAAAAATATGATTACAGAAAAGAAAATTGCAGGCAGGTATTGTAACTTCTAGAATATCCCCTCATTAGTACTTTAAAATATACATCCTTGCCACCTACTCCAGGAATCAGTCTGCTCACCATCAATGATTTTTACGAGCTTATGGAGCAGAACCTAAAATGCAGGAAGGAGCACTAAGGTGGGACAGAGTTGGCTGTTGATTGAGCAGTAAGACAGCAAGTGGACTACAGAGAAAAATGAAAGGGAAAGAGCTGATGCAAAAGAGACATGAAGTGGATGAGCCAGATCCGTTTGTTTCACTGGCTTTCCAGTAGGCAGCTCAGAGCGACACAATTCTGCCTGCATCCAGTAAGAGTAGAGTTGCGGTAAGGAAAGAACAGACACTACCAAACACAGATTAGAAAGAGAGTGACAGCAAAGACTCCTGTTATACCTTTCTGTTGAGGTGTGACTGGACAAGACAGAATGCTTTACCTGAAAGACATGGAGGGGGAGAATATTGTTTAAAGCAAGAAGACTGTATCATGCTTCTCAAACTTCACATTTTATTAAACATAAGTTGGAGTCAGCAAAAAAAGCCTCTCTAATTCTCTGACCTAGAGGCAGTATACAGACAAATATGAAAACAGTGCTACATTATTACACTACTACAATAGTCTAAAGAAAAAAAAGAAAAAATAAAGAAAATAAAATTTACTTCAGAAGCTAGTTAGGAAGTGTAAAGTGAAACAACACACAGCATACAGAGAAGAAAAAATGCAGTGAGCTTCCTTTGCAATGTTTTCTTTACTTACTCAAAAAGCCTTGAAAAAAATAGAAGAAACATGAAGCTAGATATCAGATATGGTGAAGCAATCTCATTTCTCATATGCAGTCATGTATCTACCTTCCTACATAGATCTTAACTTCCTGTTTGCCAGAGATGCTCCAGTTTTCCATACATAGTTATGGATCCAGGAATCAACAAAGTGCCCTTCTCATTAGAAAGCTAAGCTCATCAGCTCCCTCTGGCATATTAGCATATATCCAATACTGCTGTAGCTTAACAGAGTAATAATTGCTGTGAGCTCCCACATGCACAAACTTGCTATAGAGCCAAGGTCTTTTGAAACACTACTGTATGACTTTCAGGCCCTGAAAGTTAATGTTTAAAAACTTTCACCTGTCATTAAAGGTTAAGAGATTGGTCACTGCTTATTGAAAAAATGGCCCTACTTCCCTTGCAAACCACAAGAAATAGCAGAGTATGTCCAGCGCGGGACCAGTAGCTATGATATGAGTAAAAAGGCACACCTTACTTCTACAAATGCTACTTTTGACAAAAGAACCCACTAGCATCCCTCCTGATCCTAAGAGAAGAAGATACTGGCCATTACCTTGCTCATTCTGAGAACTGCTAAATTTGGAGATCCAGGTGGGGTCTGATGCAATAACTCAGAAGTGAAGGCAGTATTTGCAATCTGCATACATTCTTCAAGAGTCTTCAGGAAAGTGTCACAGGTTGATTTCAACAGAGCTCCCATATCAATCTCACTCTGTGGGAAGAAATCAATTGGAAGAAATGGACTCACCACAGAAGATCAATTTGGAACAACTAATGTCTGCAAAGCCCACAGCTGCTACAGTTGTGATTTCTGGTTAACATGAATTAAAATTCAATGTGTCAGCTGCTCAGAGAACTGGCATCACATATTACTGTGCCTATGTCCCCTTGCAGTATTACCACTCTTTTCAGCCTCTCAGTACAAGCAGCTTAACACGCTTGTGTTTTGAAATCAATGCCTCTTAGTTATCTTATTGGTGTTAGAAGTGCATGAAATACTAAGCCTGAGTGTATTCAACAACAGCATTCCAGGAAACACCACTGACAGGAGATAGGAAAAGTAAACAAATTAAATTGATGCAGAATGATCTGCAGATGATCATTTCAAAAGCCTCATGAACAAAAAATTATTGGAAATGACAAAAATGCAGAATGACGTATATCATTGCCTCTCCATCTCTACAAAGTGAGTTATTGTTGCTGAAATGCTTTTAGCAATAAATCTTTGCAGTTAAATGCCAGTAAGATCAGGGAAAGAGAGTCTTCCCCCAGATGCATGAAATACGAGCAGGATAAACACCACATTACAGGTCAACACCTGTGAGCTGCAAGTTCTAACAGTGCCTTTTAGTCATTTGTATACCACATCAGGCTTGTGCACTGTCTTTTAATTCACCTTAAACAGCTTATCAGCTATCTTTACAGAGATGGTTTGGACATCAAACCAAAGGCTTGAATAATCTTCAGGTGTTTTGCCTGCTTGTTCTGCATCTGAAGACCCATCTCTCCAGCGGGAGGCATCCTGGAACTCAACATCAGCTTCTCTAGCAAAGAAAGTGCATCCTTCTTCACACATTTCTCTCTCAAAGCAAGGGGCACACATCACTGTCTTTAGGAGATCCCTCTTAAATGAGGCTTCTTTGGTCAAGAAGATTTGCAAAGTTTGAAACTTTAATTTAAGTGAGGCAACCAAGCAGTTCTTTATATCATTTTTGCTCTTTTTGTGGTCTGCAACATCTCTTGACCTTTTAATAGTTTTGTTGAGTAGGATATTAATGACTCAGGCAGAAAAATTGTGCTTTGTGCAAATTATCTTTTTATAAAAGATCTTTTGCTTTTTTTGATCCACTGCAAACACATGATCATCTACAGGGGTGTTACTGTCTAGATCATGGATATCAGATCTCATCTCACTACTTGCTAGCCCAACATAGGGCAAGTAATTTGCAACAATGTAGTAATACTCCATTTAAACAAGACCTGTTGTGTGAGCACTTTATTTCCCTCAGGTTCTCTGCAGAAGGAGGGTGCAACATTAAGTAACTGGGAGTGAATACTACACTGGATATCCAGAAAAGCTCATGTGCCCAAGATATTACACATGTGGGCTATAACAAAAATAGAACTGTACCTCTGGTTCTGACACACCAGAAATGCTGGCTTCCTTTGTTTTATGCACTTGCTGAACAAGGAGGTTACAGTACAGTCTAAGTTCAGACATTTTGGTCTTCAAGGCTTCTGTGTTTTCAGTGAACTCTGAAAGTTAAACAAAAGAAAAGTCAAATTTACTGTATCCAGTGTAAGGCAAGTACACGACGTTTGGTCTTAGCAGGCCTTTTATATAGGAGAAAAGCCCTACATATAATATTTTTGTTTTCACAAAGTAGTTTAAGCTGCAATCAGTAGCATTGCTTACATAGGGTAGGTAGAAAACACTGGGCATAAAAGATGCATTCTGTCCAACAGAAAGGGATTCATTTAATACAGATATCCTTGAATCATGGGATGGATGAGATTGAAGACACCTTTGGACACCAGCTAGTCCTACTCCCCTGCTCAAGGACAGTCAGAGCAAATTACTCAGGTCTAGTCAGGTTTTGAACAGTACCAAGGATGGAGACTACACAACCTCTTCTGTGCAGCCTTTTAGTGCTCCCTCATCTTCACAACATAACCATTTTTGCATATATTTCAATTGAGTAGTTTGTATCAAAGTTCATGCATATTTTCTCTTGTTCAGTCAGGGAGAAGACCCTGGTTTAATCTTTTTATGCCGTCTCACTAGATATTTCCTTTAATCATCTTAGTGGCCCTTTACTGGACTCACTCCAGTGTGTCCATATGTTTCTTGTACTGAGAAACAGAGAGTGCAGAACTGAGAAGACTAATCCAGATAAGATTAACAGTCATTCTGAGATTTTTCAGAAGTAATGTTTTTGATATTTGAGCCCCTGAATTATAAAAGAAATTGTCTGTTAGTAAGAATAACATGGTTTAGTTCTGCAAATACATCACTAGCTTTTCACCCCGTGCTACTATATGTCACTTTACAAAGCAGAACTTTGTTCTGCTTCTAGGCACTGCACATCAGATCCTCATCTGGGGAAGGACTCTATAGTAGCATCTTCTGCTCAGTTCTGACTGAGTTTGAACCAGTAGATGCAAAGCTGGAGATAACACACATAAAGCTAAGAGGAGAAGCAAATCCTCACCTCAGGGAAAGGAAGTGCTTGCCACCCCCTGCATTTACTCAGGACAATTATAATTTTCTGTTTTCCCATCTTCTGTATAGTCATTGTGCTGAGGTTACACAAGGTTAAGGCACAAGGCCTCACAATGTTCTGTGACTGATGCCACACTTGTAAGCAAGAGGGGTTTTCACTACAGGAAAAAGCGAGATTGCTGGTGAAAGCAAAGTGGTAAGTGAATTAATTTTCATAGCCTGACCACAATCAGATTTAAGTTTCTGAATACTAATAGATTTGGAACCCAGTGCAAATTAATTGCTGAGGCATTCTCAAAATGCAGAAGACAGCCCAATGAGAATATGGAAACATGTGAGGAACTCCAAAGCTGAAGAGACACTGGTGTGAGAGGCTGGGTCATCATATTTAGACAGCTGTACAAGGCGAGGGTCTTACATTCTTGTACAGTCTGCATCACAGTGACCCCTAGGCAGGGCCTATTTACTCATTGTACTTACAGAACCCATCAGCACATAGTTTTCAAATTATTTTTATATAGTGTATTGTAAGAAAAAGAAAATTACCAAATCCCTGCCCTGAGAATTAATACCTGAGATTTCTAGTTAATATTCCCACATGTTTTAGCTTTTAGCAGCACCAAAGACCTGAAGCACAGGCTGGACACTGAAGTTGTATGTACATGGACCAGGGAAAGCATGGGGAAATATAAAGCAAACATTATGTGCCAGCAAAAGGGTGTTCTTGCCTTTTTCCTTTTGTGTCCTGCTGTCAGTCAGACAGGCTTTGGCAGTTCCAAGTGCAACCAGCCACTTTTGCCTTTCAACTGCATTTCTTGCCTTCAGATAGAAGTACTGTTCCCCTGGGATTATCAGGTCCATTCGTGTGTTATCTGCAGGATGAACTGAAAGCAACATAGATTCAGACCAGCCCCCTGGCCCTTCCCAGCCCAACCAAACAACCCAACAAATGTGTTAGATGGAAGATCAAACAGTAATGAAAGAGGAGAAATCTATGGTCCCAACTTCCCCCACTGCCATTTTATGACTTCTCTTCTGTTAGAGTTAGGACACACATGTCCAGCTATGAAAGACAGTTTTGTGATCAGTATAATCTGAGAGTCTTTATGGAAAGGGCATCCTTTTCTGGTAAGCTTCTCTTTCAAGCTTCCAGCTCTTAACTGAGCCTCAAAAATGTGGCAATATGACTGAGCAGACGTAGCACTGAAGTTTCTTATTCATGTTTCTAGCTTCAGTTCTGTGCTTACAAGGAGTCATTTGAAGCTGCGTGATGTTCCACCACAGCTCATGAAAAGCAGTGACCCACCTGCATGAAGATTACCCACAATATTAGAGACTTGCAATTCTCTCAACATTTTCAAAATACTACGGTATAAAAACTTCCAAGTACATCAAGTTACTGCAAATACACACCACAGAAATCAAGCTGCCAAATAGCTCTTGTCATCTGAAATCTCATCTTGAATGTAACATTACTGGGCAAAATTAATGTAGCTGAGTGTTACTGTATCTTAGTTACCTTGAATTTCACAAACAGCCATTTGGATGCTTCCCTTACAACCCTTCCAAGCATCTTCCTGAGAGTCATAATAGGACAGGATGCCACCACAGAGAAGGAACCACCGAGGCTGCCAGCCTGAAAAACAAAACTGAATTTCTCAGTTACACCTCTCCCTGCAATTCCACCATCTCTCTCACTGGAGACTTGCTGCAAATATGCCCCCAAAGATTCTCAGTCCCCCTGGAAAACTAAACCCGTTGAAGTATTAAGATTTGTGGACAGACTTGGATGTTCTACACCACAACCCCTGCTTTCTGACACCTACATGTCTGTTCTGCACACAGGTGGACCACAGCAGCATGTGTCTTGAGATGCCATATGTCATTTTCAGCAGTTTTGCTAACACAGCATCACTGACTCACTGTCTCTTCCAAAACCACCTTCTCAGTTCAGCACCCCTCAATTCCTTCTACCACTCCTCAACCCACCTCTTCACTCTTCCCAAAAGCCACCCAGCTGTCTTGCCTTACAAGTCTTCCTCCCTTGAAGGAAGGTTATCTTGAAAAACAATGTGTAAGAATCTCTTAAAAATCAACAGACGAGCAGAGGCGGAGCCGTTGATTTCTGAACATTCTGAATACCATCTTTTGGTGAAGCAGTTTTCAACAGCTCTTGAAACTCCTTGTGCTGCCCACTTAAAACATAGTCTTGAATTACTGACCTGCACTTCTGGATAGTTTCCCAGAGAAAAACCAAAACCAGGGTAGACCCACACCAGTAGTTCTGGGTGTGCGTTTGCCCACCCTGCTGCCCAACTTTAGAAGTAAATCATGCTTTTTTTTCTACTTTTGGAATCACTACAGCAGTATGAAAAGATAAAACCAAACATACGACCTGACAGCTGCCATTTATGTCTAATTAAAAACTACAAGCTCATTAACTTAATAAGAAATGAGGCAGCAATGTCACTGGAGGAAAGCAGCTTTCATTTACTGAGCTGCAACAGGCTTCCCTGGCCAGGTCCAATGCATTAAGATTCTGACACTCCCACATTATGCCAGCCAACCATCTCTGGAAGAAACACTTGGACAAGACCATGTGGGCCACACGGCTCTATTAGATATTTTGGCAGAGGGTATTCAGTTCTGCTGTCCCCTGCAGCAGGGCTCTGCCAACCAGAACTGTGCTGCAGGAGCCCAGGCTGGACTTGGACTGATATCACATTGGAGGATTGACAGCTCCTTTCCAGCGAGAAACTGGTTCCTCAGACAAACTGCTGAAAGCAAGCACAACACAGTTTAAGATTAGAAAGGCCTAAAGCCTTAGGCACAGCAGGAGTATGGTCTGGCTTGTCCCCCCTTCCCCCTGCCTTTTTTTTTTTAAATCAACACCACTGCATTCAGTCCAACCCAGTTTATAGATTGCTGAACCCTTTGTGGTGGCTGGAAAACAAATTAAACATAAATAGTATTTCATTCCCTTCTAGATCTCTCCATTATTTCCCAGAAGAATATAAAAATGTCAAAAATCCAAAGTACTCTCAACACTTCTTTACTTTATATGAAGAAGGAAAAATCACAAAAATGAGGAAAAAAAAATTAAAAATTAAAAAAAGAAATCAGCAAGACTGGTTTCTATTTGTCTTGCCTCCAAAATAAAGCAACTATCCTGCAAGTCACTACTGATATGTGGGAACTCACAAAAAAAGGAAGTGATTGTTCAGCAGAGAGAAGCAGTTAATTGCTTCAGACACTCAATGGCACAGAACCAATTCTTTAAATAATGCACAGCGCCACAGTCAATACAAGCCTCTAATTCAGTCTGGTGCTCCTGCTGCTGCGCATGAATCATTTCAGCCATGGTCCTACAGCTTACAATTGCAGCTGATGCTCAACCAAATTGTGTCCCATCCATCAAAGGCTGTGCAATCAATTAGCCAACATACAAATCACTCTGCCTCCATCACTTTGGAGGCTGTTTAAAAATATGTTATGAATGAATATATTTTTTGAGACTTTTATTTGGTTGGTTATTTTGGTTCTGGGTCTTGGGGTCTTGGTGTTTTTTGTGGGGAACAGAGTAACTATCTGCATTCCTTTGCAGAAAACAACTCTTCTTTAATTATTAGATACATATTAAAAAAAGATTGTGATAGACAATTTTTACCTAGGACAATATATATTTTAAGAACAGAATTGTTACACTAATAAGAGCACGTTTTTGTAAAAGAAAAACAATTTAAAAAAAAAACTCGCAGTAAGGTTCTGTCAGAAGATGCACTAACCACCTGGTACTCACTGACACTGAGTCAGCAGCCATGGGAAGGTTATCCTAAACAACCAGCTAAAAATAGCATGTGGCTGGCAAATCATGGGCATTGCACAGGGATACAATCTTTAATTACAAGAGCTTCACTTTTGCAGACAAGTGAAGAATGGAGGAACAAAAAAAAACCAAAACAAAAACCAAAGCAACAAAAAGATACTTAGGCACTTCCAATAACACAAATCTTGGGTTTACTCAGTGTTATTTGCCTCCTATAAATTTGTCATAGGAATATTGTAATTTTTGGAACTGAGCATTCCGATTTCACCTGATACGGAAAGGTAAAGCAGAACCTTTTAAGGTCTTACTGGTGCCAGCATTAACACAACTTTGAAGAAGAATTTAAGTCCATTATACTGGTGGTGCATAGGCAGGAAAAAATATAGCTCATACTTCCAACATCTCATTTTAGAGGCACAGTACAATTAACAATAAAAACTGACCTTGGTGGGAAAGGTATGTACGAAAAAATCCCCAATAAAGCACAAAGCACAATAAAAAAGTGATTAGTAGCTTAAGGTCCTAGCCATATAAGAGAGTGAAGATATTCCAGATGACTTCACAGGCACTGGTCAAAGTACATATTGCACTCCTGTGTGAAACCTACAGTTAGTGCCTGCAGTACCTGGAAGATCTGATATTGTCCACTACAAAAACAGATATTTAAGCAGTCTGTGCCTGCTAAGGATTCATTACTTCTCGAGAAGTTTCTATAGAAAGATCTGCCTACTTCCATCATTGCACTTGAGGAAATCTGGATGTCGCTATCAATGAGCAAACTTGACATTTCTTGATAACACAAATGAAATTTGGATATAATTCAAACTTTAATGTTATACAACCCAGACTCCAGACAGCATTCCTTCCAAAGTGCCAAGCCTGAAGGAAAAAAAAAAAACAACAAAAAAAACCCAAAACCAACACTATAAGACACGTAGATCATGTCAGACATCTACAAAGCCATCTGGGAGAATTACACACTCAAGAAGTCAAATTGACCTGGAAAACAAGCTGCAATTAAGAGACATCACTTCCACCTGCATTTCCAAAGTGCATAAAACCCAGACATCCAGGTTTTTATTATTGCTTGCTTTCCATGAGAATTATTTAACACTTGAGGCTTATTTATTTCTTAAGTGTCAGAATAAGTTTCTGTAAAACTTTTTCAATAGATAGTCCTTGGACTCTTTGACCCTAATCCAGACTTTAACTGCAGATAGGAGATAATTACAAACTTTCCATATTACATCACCTGTCTAATAGGAGGAGTTAAAGCCATCATCTCCCTGCTGCTTATAACAAGGGCAAGATCTAAGACTTAAGTGCAGATGGCATAGCAGGACAGATCACTGTTTTTCTGTGCAGGGTCACAAAAAAGTCCCAGCGTGGCTGCCCTGCTAGTCAGAGCCATCTCACTGTGAGAATGAGCAATATCCATCCTTTCATCCCACCCTGAGGAAATGTAAACTGTGCCACGTGCTCACTGTCCCACCATCTCCAGGTTTATCTCCCAAGGGCAAAAGCACCACATCGTCTGCCCAGTGCTGTGTCAGCAACTGATAGCAGGACAAGAACTGCTGAAAACTCAGCTCTAGCAGGCAAAGACACTATCAGTCAACCAGGTTTCTAGTCAGAAAAAGCAATTAGCAAGAAAGGATCTTACACAGATCAAACTTCACACTTTTCCCCTATTTTCTCATTCAATGAACAGAAGTAAAAGACTATCCTGACATAAGAATTTTTCACTCAAAGCTGGCGCCTATTTTTTCTATACAGCCTCCTAAGGCTACCCAGTATTTTGGGAAGGGCAATCCCAGGACTGGAACACATTTTGCAGCCTTAATTCTATAGCAGAACAATCTGACAGGATAAAAATTCAGTGTGTGCCCATGAGGGACAGCAGAAAGGCAGACAAGACTGTGTAACAATCTATGCTTCTTCTGTGAGCTATTATCCTGTCACATAGACAGCAGCTTCTGGAAATGCCTGTATTGCAATTTTACTCTGATTATGTGCATATCAACAGCAGGAATCAATACAAAAAGCCCCTAAAGGTAATGAAGATCAAAGATTTAGCACCTTAACAACAGTATCACTTTTTAAAGCACTTGCTTGAGGGACACTAGAGGTTCAAGTGAAGGAAGCAACAGCTGGAAAAGGCTTTAACACAATGACCTTCTCCCAAATGATCTTTCTTACAGGGATTCCATAGTCCATTTTTGTTTCAATCACAACTGTTAGGGCAATGCTAGCAGCATTGAAAAAGCATCCTGTCATCACAGGGCGACTGGGTTTGTTTGCAAACTATTTTATGGCTGTGACCAGCCAAGGCACAGAGAGCACAATGTACTAGTCAGGCATTTTTGAAAGGGATGCAGTGAAAGGATGAAGGATTGTGGTGGAAGAAGAAGTTCAATAACACAGACCCACTGCTCAGACACTAATTGTCCCAGCAAACAAGCTGCTCCTCTCTCTGACCCCTGGGGTGGTTATCAGGCCAGAGTAAGTTAACATAGTGAATTTATGTAAGCACACACAGATACCACATGATGGTATCTCTTCACCATCAGTCTACCACACCTTTGGTTTCTGTCCTACACAGCCATTCCCTGTGATCACTTACTTCAGAGCGGAGGGACTGAATGCAGAGGCACTGGTACTGCAGCATACCTGGCAGGGAACGCTGCACCATGGAGGCTCTGCAGCACTGCTCTAACACTTACAGAGGAGAGAGGGGACACTGATTTCCATTCCTGCAGCCTCATCAAACTTTTTCTACTGTGAGCACATTACATAATTCTAAAATGGTTGGACAAAAGCAAGATTGCTGCATGAAGAAATAGAAAGGGAAGAAAATTGTGAGAAAGGTCAAATCACACAAAGACAATTAAGCAAAATCCAAAGAGAATTAACTAACAGTCCTTGAAGTATCCTGCATGAAAAGTCTCATCCACCCAGAACTGGCTGACAGTCAGGCATTCATCTAAACCAACACCTGGATCCTGAGAGCAGCCACAGCCAGTAATAGAAGGCAGACCATTGCCCTGAAAGCAACAGAAATATCAGCTCTGTAGGTCCACCTCCAGGAAAACCAGACTTCTAATTTTATACAACCAGAACTTGGACTATACTCAGAGGCTAAAATGAAGGGGAAAATTATAAAAGGCTTTTTAGAACTAAATATTTATCTAAGTGTGAAGTTTTTGATTAATTCCTCCATGTCTGGAAACAGAGGAGCTTATTTCCAGAGCTTGGTATCAGCTGGAATGATATGTGTCTCTCATCCTAAAAGGTCAGATTTCTTAAACTCACAGAGACTTGCTCTAAGCAATATCATGTGCATCCAGATCCAAGATACAAGAACTAATGCTTTTTCACATTTTCTTGAGCTCTACTTCCAAGTTTATCAAGGAATTCTAAATCAGTAGAGACAAGAGCAATTTAAACTTTTATGCAAAAGCTGACATATACTGCTTAGTGCTGGCTCATGATATCTTGGGATAAACTGAAAAGAATCCAAGGTACAACAAAAAACTGAGAGGGGATGATTACATACAGGTAAATGGGGAGAGCTAACTGAAGTACGTGGCATGATGCAGAGTCACTGGTGATGGCATGAAGGTGAGTCTATCATGCCTTGAGGAAGATGAATTACTTAGGGTTAGAATTGCTCAGCACAAACAAGGAAGTGAATATTTAAATATGAGAAAAAGCTTAGCTTTGTAGAGGAAAGTGATCACAGTAATTTTATGGAGCAAGTAACAAATACCAAGCAAGCCAGTGGAATCAGTCATCATTTTTCATCTAATTATGAAGTTGCCTTTGAACCCCACAGTCAAGAGCTGATGCATACCACTTTTCCAGTTAGCAGCAATCCTGCCTGTGGCTAGCAATCCCAGGTAGGGTGTGTGTCTGCACTGAAGATCTGAACTGATTTTCAGCAGAAAGAAAAAAATCAACTTGAAAGTGCCAAGCTCTCACACACACTACTGAAGGAGGTATTTCCTAACTCCATGCTGCGTCCCAGCAATATACTCGTTCTATAAACCTGATGAGAAAAAATAAATCATCAATGCCTTTTACAAGGCAAACTCCAAAGACTAAACCAATTTATTTTATTAATCAGAAGTTATGCTCAAAGAGTATGCATTACAGGTTAAGTTCAGAGAGTCCCACGGGTGGCAGTTTCCAAGCAGCAAAGAGCAGCCTTCACGTGCAGTTCAGCTCTGCTCTGTCCTTTATCCTGCCAGCAGCATTCCCCAGCTGGAGATCAGTCACACTGTGACACTGCAGCCAGGATCTGCCTTTGATGCTGCCCACACCAGAATGGTTTGTGCTCTGCCAGGACTGCAGCCAGTGACTGAGGAGCTATAGGGAAGGCACACGGTGACACTTTTATCATTCCAACTGCTTACTACAGTAAGTGGTACTGAAACAATAGTTACACAGCCATCTCCAGCCCCCACCATGCAAAGCTAACATCAGATAGAGACTTTTGGCAAAGGATGAAATCTAGGAATTTTTTAAGATCATGTTACATGCTTTGACTATAAGCTTAGCTGAGGCCAACTTACATGCCTGCATGATTTAAGTCACCCTGCCCTGGATTTTGAGGATGAATAATTGGAACTTTGTACATGCATTATAGATTTGCACAAGAAAAAAAGTGCTGTCTCACTTTATATGATGATAATTCTGCTTGCAAAGTTCCCTGCTCTCTTAAGGTTTTAACCAGTTTAGTGGGGCAAGCATAGACAAGAGCAACTGAAAGACACACACCACAAACACAAGATCCCAATGGATTTTCATAGGCTACAACTTTGTGAATGTTTTCTGATCCAAAGTTGCCACGCTTCACTTAAACAAAAGTAACACACTGAGAAATCACTATCTACATTAGAGGACAGAAAACCACTAAAAATCTCAGTTTTCTAAACACAAGAGATTTCCAAGTTAGCACTGGAAACCCTGCATATAGAAACCACAATGTGACTGTGGGATCAACACCAGAGGAAAAACCCCACCTCCACGCAGAAACCAGGTAATATTGATTTGAGTTATTCTAATCTATATAAAGCAAACAAGTGCATTTATTACAAACAAGATAACTTGTTTAAACAGTAAAGCAAACTGATCTGTCTTTCAATTGCTGGCAATCATGGTATGCTTTCTTTGCCCTTTACCCACAGAAAACCAAAATTGTTTCCTATACGTTCTTGCTGTCAATAACTATGTCATTTGCAACACAGATCTAGCTCCGAGCCCAAGAGCTGGGAGGAAATGGGTTGATGTGGACTTGACATCTCATGATGGCAATAAGACATTATGAAATCAAAATTCCCAGAAAGGACTCAATTACCAACAAACTCGCATCAGCTCCTCTTTCACAGCAAGAAGGAAAAGCAGTTCTTTCCTACAGTTTGATGCTTGTTCTTTTTTAAATGCTCTATCTCTTCTTTGACTGTGAGGGGTCCTCCTCATCCTGAGGTACATCAGCATTGTTTCATTAGCACAGGCACACATCGACACAGAGGGATAACACACAATTTCCCTACTTTTTGCATGCATCGTTTACACTGTACTGCACCCGATTCATCAACCTTGACCAACAGAAAAAGCATACTGGGAGCAAAATACTGGCAGAAATACTCTTCTGGATGACCTGTTGAACCTTCTTACTTTCCATAATCTCTGAAAGGAGATTTTCCTGTCTCTCACTCTCCAGCTCTTTGTTATTGCTACAATGAACACCACATTCCAGAATTATTTTTTTTTTTTTTTTTGCATTTCTGCATAAATATGTAACTCAATGGCTTCAGGGCAGGAAGTCTTCATTTTATGGCAAAATAAAGCACTAGTATGTACAGACAGCTTGCAGAACAGTAAATTTACTGTTCTCAAACACACCATGGGCACTCTACAACCCAAGAGAAGGCACAGAGTGACCACGACCACCACGCTTATTAGAAATCAAGTTTCAACCAAGAAATCAGAAGGATGCTTCAATCTTGACAGATTTTCTCTGTACTGACAGCAAAACCTCTCTTAGTTTTCAGCCAGTACAAATCTTACATATGCAAGGAAAAGTTTTCCCTCAGTCTGCATTCACTTGACTGAGCTTTGCAAAGCATCATCCTTCTTCATGAAGGGTCATTTGATTGGAACTGCTATTCATGTGGCTAGCAAAAGAAAATTTAATTTTGATGAAAACAGAATACTTCTTAGTCTTCATCTTACCATCAAAACAGAAGACCAGCTGATCCTACCACAGGCACACTCAGGCACTAAAATGTCAAATGCCAGTCAGCTATCTACAACATGCATTGCTTCCCACAGACACCCATTCCCAGGTCTCATGGCACTAAACCAAGCACAAGGGTTCCAGACACACCCCAGCATCTCAACAATGCGAAGAAAAACATATAAAACTTTTGATCAGCTGAACCATGGGTGGTGTTAGTTTGAGGAAAGGACTAATATCACTACCACAGTTCTGCAATTCACATGAAAAAGGCAAGCATGGCTGCTCCTACTGCCTCTTCATAATTCAAGAGCATTCACTAATAATTAACAACAAAAGAAAAAATCCATGTCTGTTCACTGAGACCTGACAAATTTTGATTCTCATCTCAGAACACCTATTGCCTAAAGGGGAAAAGTCACAGCAATCTTTTAGCACAGCAATAAATCCAGCCTCATGCACCACTGCTGACCCACGCCATCCCTACCACATGAATTCAACACTCCCTTGTGTTTCTGCTTTTTCTTTGTTTAATTTTGATTTCCTACACTTTCCCAGCTAGCCAGAGCGGTGCAGCTGTTCCAGCCTCTCGGGAAAAAGCAAGGCGGCAGCCCTTGTACATACAGCACTGAGCAACACTCGCATCTGGCAATGCCAAGGTGGTCGTGGTTACTTCTCTCTGACCTTCAAGTTTCCAAATCGTTCCTACAAACCAGAGAGGCTTGCCCCTGGCAAGACCCCATGCCCAGCCCCAGATCACACGCCTCTGTCTCACCCGACTCGAAGGGGCAGTGGACATCCCATGGGAACACAGCGGGCTTCTGACCCCGGCACCTTCAACCTCTGCTGGGCAAACTCTGCCCACACACGGCTGCTGCCAACCTGACATGGAAATCAAGCCTTCCGCGGCACGGGAACACCCGAAAAATTAAAATTTGGGCCTAGAGCTAGCCGGACAACCCCCCCTCCACCTTTTTTCTTGTCTTTTTGGGTTTTTGCATGCCTTCTCACCCGAATCCCCCAAGTGAGACTGTATGGCAACACGTTTTTCTCCCAGCTCTGGGAATACCCCGAATCCCCGACTCGCCTCAATAAAAGTTCCACGGGGCTGTGTGGAGACCGGGGAAGTTCGCTGTTCGAGCTGTGACCCGGAGCATCCAAACTAGCCCGAACGCCGACCCAAGACGGGCACTGGCACCGGGATAAACGCCGGGCAGTGACAATAAGGCAGCGCCGGGGCTGCTCCCCTGCACGGCGGGGTCAAGGGGCAGCGCTGACCCGCACCCAGCAAGCACAGCGAATATATACACGCATGTACTTGTATAAATACATGTATGACAAGACGACGGCGCCCGATCCGCAAAGGCTGAGCACTGGCAGGAACTCACCGCTCAGGTAGTTGGTCCACTTGTACAGGACCCCCTCCATGCCGGCCGGCCCCCGGCCCCATGCAGCGCGGCCGGCCCCCGGCGGGGTCACGCCGCCCGCCGCCGCCCGCGCTCCGCCGCGCCGCCGCCACACAGCGCCATCGCGGGGGGGCGCGCGCCCCGCCCGGCCCGCGCCGCGCCCGCCCCCCGCCGCCGCCGCCACGCTCCCAGCGCAGGGAGCGCCGCAGCCGCGCACTCGCGGCACGGCCTCGCAGCGCTACGTCACCGCAACCCGCGCTGTGAATCGCCGCCCGCGTGACAGGCGGGAGTGAGAGGCGGGCCAGGGGGCCAGGCGCGGAATGCCCAGCGCAGGTGGCCTCTCGCGGCCAATCGGAACGCGCCCTCGCTGCGGCCGCCGCCCAATCAACGGCCGGCAGCGGCTGGCTCCATTGTGCGCGCACTCCGCCGGGCTGCCCTGCTCGCCGGCGCTCCCGGAGCGCCCGGCCCGCCCACCCCCTCTCGCCGCTCGGGCCTGCCGATTGGATGGGCTGAGGGACGGACAGGGGCGCGCACCAATGGACGGCCGCTCCTCCTGAGCTCGCCCTGCGCCGAGCCAATCAGCGAGCGCGGTGCCGGTGCCGGGCCGTCGGGAGCCGGGGCTGGCGGCGGTGCGCGCCGCTGCCACGTCGGACGGGCCGGCCGGGCGCGGGATGGCGGCACCGTGAGGGGAGCGAGGCGGCGGCGATGGCGGCGGCGCTGCTGCTGCTGTGCTCCGCCCTGCTGTGCGCGGCGCTGGGCTGCGCGGGCGCGGCGCTGATCCCCCCCGCGGCCGACGTGAAGGTGGAGGTGCTGCACAAGCCTTTCCTCTGCCACAGGAGGACCAAGTGGGGGGACATGATGCTGGTGCACTACGAAGGCTACTTGGAGAGGGACGGCTCCATGTTTCACTCGACGTAAGTGAGCGGCGCGTCTTCTCCGAGCGAGCTGCTGGCTGAGCTTGAGTGGGGAAATACACGTGTGTATATATATATATGTATATATATATAATCATAGCATGCCTTGGCTTGGAAGTGACATTAAAGATTCCTTGACACTTTGACTGGATAAAGTTGCTCAGCAGCCGCACCCGACGCGCCTTTGAACGCTGCCCAGGTTGCTCAGAGCCGCATCCAGCCGGGCCTTGAACACCTCCAGGAATGGGTTATCAACAACTTCCCTGGACAGCCTCTTCTCGTGGCTTACCATCCTCACAGTAAAGAACTTCTTTCTAATATCTGGTCTGAGCCTACTCTCAGTTTAAAGCCATCACTCCTTGTCCTGTTACTACATGCCCTTTTAAATTGTCGTCATCTTTCTTGTAGGCTCCCTTGAGGTACTGGGTGCAATTAGGTCACCCTGGAACTTTCTTTATACCAAACTGAACAATCCCAGTTCTTTCAGCCTTTCCTCATAGGAGAGGTGCTGCTCCATCCCTCCAACAATCTTGGTGCACCTTCTCTGGACTCGCTCCTTTATGTGTGTTTATTTATTTATTTTTTTATTTTATTATAGATGATCTATTCTGGTCGTGCTTTCCTGAGTCCAGACCTCTCACAGGGGACCACAGTCCATCTGCAAATAGCTCTGTGAGGAGCATTTTGTCAGGGGCAAGTGGTTTTTTTGGTTGGTTGGATTTTTACTCCTCCATCCCCAAACTCCCAAAACTCGTGTTTACTTGTTTGCAAAGAAACAAAAGCAATGCATGAATGCCTTATTTGTTTTGGGATAAAAGAGCTTAAATAGCACTGCATAAACTTGGCATTGGGGCCCCTCCCACTGCCACTGTTCTCAGAAAGTTTGGTGTGAAGCAGTGCCTCAAAATGCTATACAAAATGAACACCAACAGTAAGGCCAACCTCCTATCCCAAGGTTATAAAATAAATCTTACACAGCATTTGTTTTTTGGTCAGTCTGTAGGAAGTAGAGCCATGTAGCATTTTTAAAAGATTTTATGCATGGAGCACCTATCCTGTGTGGGATGGCTGAGAGAACTGGCATTGTTCAGTCTGGAAAATAAGAGGTTTTGAGGTGACCTAATTGTGTCTTTCCACTACCTGAAGAAAGATGGAGAGAGACTGTTTGCAAGGGCATGTAGTGACAGAACAAGGGGGATCTGCTTCAAACATAGAGCAGATTTAGATTGGTTTATTAAAAATAAATTTTTTTACTCTGAGGATGGTGAGACACTGGAACAGGTTGCCCAGGGAAGTTGTTGACAGCCCATTCCTGGAGGTGTTCAAGGCCAGCTTGGATGGGGCTCTGAGAGCCTGGTCTAATTGAAGATATCCCTGCTCATGGCACAGGGGGATTGGAATTGGATGGTCTTTAAGGTCCCTTCCAATCCAAACCATTCTGTGATTCCATGATTTAGGTGCAGGTTTTGGTATTTGATCTCAACGGTTTAATAGGTCTTGTTCTATGCATAAATTTCTATTTGGTTTCTAAAGCAAACTATTAGTTTAAAAAAAAAAAAAGTTACATGTGTCCCTCCTCTAGAGGCAGCACAATCAGAGCTTTTCATTATTCTTTACCTGCCCCCGACCAGACAAGTCAACATACCAGAGTCACGGAAATGCAAATAGGAGGAAGAGACAGAAATTCGAGGGAGTCTGCTAAGAGCCTGCAACGACTTGCTAATGCTGGATGTCCTGTAAAACATCAACGAAGTGTTAATAGTGGTAGACAGCAAAATCCTTGAGTCTCTGCAGGGTGCCTGAAGGCTATTTTTGTATATTAAAAAAAAGAAAAAGAAAAAAGACAGTTTTGCATGTTTATGCTCTTGCAGATGATTCAACTAAAATCTCACTAATTTTCTCTTGTAGTTAACCTGCCTCTTTAAAAGGACTTCTAGTGACACACTATAAAGTTTTTGCTGCTGACTAACTTCTGTAAGTGTTCTGTTTTCTTCCTAAACACCTCTCGTGCATGACTAGTAAATAGATCTTTCAAATTCCTTGTCTGTAAGTGGAGTGAAAGTAGTCCGGGTTGTACCATCTGGTTAAATCAGAAAAGGTCTCCCAAATCTAAAGTCGAATGTTTTGCATGCATTTGTTTCTAGTTTTGTCTAGATTGTTATGTAGTTGTTTTGTTAGTTTTTTCCCCTCAATGGCTTCTTTTGAAAGAGATGAGGCTGATTCTTCTAAGCACGTTGAAATGTATATTGCTAGGATGACCATGCTGATCTGTGATTTGCAATTCAAGATGGCCTTGACTGTAGATTTGTAAGAAAAATGCACTTCTAGTCTGATCAGTTTCCAAGTGGAAGTAGGTGGTCAGGGAAGTGAAGATTTGGCTTGGTTAGTGTTGTCATAAACACACAAGGTAAATGTTGTTTTACTTCTTTCCACTTCCCAAGGAAGCTTGTCATGCAAAGCATAAGTTTTAAAGACTTTGAAAGTGTAGGTCTTTCATTTAAGGTGTCAAGGTGTGGAGTGGTGCTGTGCTTTTAACTACTTCTCTACATTATGAGCATATTCCATTGGCCCTTTGTGGAACTTGATGTTTAAATATGAAGTGTTTTATTCCTTTCTTTTCCAGTCACAAGCATAACAATGGTCAACCGATGTGGTTTACACTTGGCATACGGGAAGCTCTCAAAGGCTGGGACAGAGGGTTGAAGGACATGTGTGTGGGAGAGAAACGGAAGCTGACTATTCCGCCAGCCCTTGCTTATGGAAAAGAAGGGAAAGGTAAAACATGTGAAGCACTACCCTTGCTCTAATTGTTTCTAATCTCTATATTTTACTGTTATGCTTGGCCTAAGAGGTTAGCAAGCTTTCAAGCTTTCCAGGTTGAGTCCGTTAAAGAAGAAAAATTGAGGGAGTCAAGTGCTGTTTCTCATAAATTTGTTTCCAGCAGTAATATCCATTAAATGGCTATGTTGTGAATGCAGAAAAAAAAAAAAAAAAGCCAGAAACTGATGGTAGCTGCTGTGCTGTATGTTCTAAGTGTCTTTTTCTGTTAGTGCTGTGTACTCAACAGTGCCCTCCTTTCTCTTTCCTTTTTTTTTTTTTTTAGTTTGTTTTTTTCTTCCTTCTTTTACAGTCAAGTGGAGGTGGTTGCTTAGGTAACAGTTGGCTTTTTGGCTGTTGGATCTGTTTTTGTGGTAATAATGAATGTGCATGTGCAAGACTCATTCTTGCTTTCAGGTTTCTTTTAGAGCCCTAAGAAACTCCCTGTACTGCTGCCCAACCAGTTCTTAGATGATACAGATGATACTGTTTATTTCTCCATATAGGGACATTAATTCTTTTCCTCTTTCAGCTATTTTCAGTTTGGGCAGTGGTCCCTGTTATCCACAGTAAGATATGCATGGGCAGTCACATTGTCACCTACTGAAAATGCACTGACTGCTGTGCAGATAGAAACATCTCAACCTGTCTACTGCTGAGGGTGTTTGAGGTTTTTCCTTTCAAATATTTCCAGATTCCTTTTAACAGGAGGGCTAGATTTGGAATAGGCAGTTATGTGAGTAACAGCTTGAATGGTTCTATTTCTGCTTTATGGGATTTTTTTTTAGTTAACTTTTTTTTTGAGAAATTATTATGAATATTTATGTCATGACAAGAGTTGCAACAAATGACCTAGGATAGTGCAAGGTTCCAAAGCAGAAAGGATAAATATCTAGGAACATACAGTCCATCCTGCTGATGTTCTCTCCCATCACTGTGAGACTGTTTTGGGAATGAGGACTGTATGCATGTCTGTGTCTTCTGGCAAGTAGGGCTGCACACAGGCTTAGGACTCCATATTACCTCATGCCAGTTAGTATTCATACCTACAGCAGACTTCATACCCTCCTTTATTAAATGTACTTGTTTAACACATATTTTTCTAGAAGCAATGGCTTAGGGTTCGAGATGCAGTATTAGAAGTAATCATGTTTCTAGTTAGAGAACAAGAACCTTGTGGTCCTCATTTAATTGTCTTTATGCAGCGCTTAGCTGTAAATTTTTCCACAGAAAGATGTGAAATGCTGCAGTGCTCATGCAGTCATCACAGGCCTAATTGTTTGATTAATATGTAAAGCACTATAATTATTCTTCAAAGACTTGCAACCCTCACCTCTGTGTTTAGTGCAAGAAGGTTAAACACTGCTAACTACTGTAAGAAATTACCTGCTTTAGGAAGACTTTGAAGTATTTGAGCATAATTATGTTGCTGTTTTCAAGTGATGCACTTGAAGACAGAATTATTTAATTTTCTTCAAATGCACATAATTTCACTAGGTTCCCACCTCGGTTGCTGCCTGACTCATCATTTGAGTCAGATGCCTTTTTCTGTAAGACTCAAAGAAATCACCTATGTTCCAAACCCTAAACCGGACACTGTGCCCTGTATTTCCAGAAGATTCTGCACATTTATTGGTCCCAGAAATCTATAAGCCTGTTTATTGCTGCAGCTCAGGGTGTATTTAACACCATAGTTCCAATGTGGTAGATGCGGATTATTTTTCCCTCTCTTCTCAAGGCACAGAAATACTTTTTGGGGTGCTGCCGTCCAATATAGAGATATGTTTGGTCCTATTCAATCTCTCCCTATATATAAAGGAGCAGAGTGATGTGCTAAAAGGTCTTTGACAGTAGCTTCAGCCATCAGCATGAGGGCATATCACATCTCTGTCAAAGCCAGTGCCTGATAAACTGAAATCCTTGAGGTGTGGTGGCATGGGGGAGTGCTCTGTAGCACTACTAGGAAGTTACTAATCTGTTCACCTACATCAAAAAATGATGCTGTAGTAACACATGCCTTGTGATCAGGGTTGGGTACTCAGTTTCTGCTGTGTGTTTGGAAATAGCTCAGTGCTTTGTGCCCTGAGTCCAGAGACTGCTGTGGGAAACAAACATCATCCTACTTTCTCTGCAAGAGTTTTTCCAGTGGCAAAACAGCAGATACAAGGTATCAGCTGGCAGTAGAGAGGAGTTTGGGGACTGATGGGACATCTGGAGGACTAAATTCTCCCTTCCTGCTGCCCTGTACATTAGTCTTGGCTGTAGCCTATCTGACTGTACAGTCTCCTTCTGTTTTACTGTTTATCTGGCTCTGGCCATGAAAGAAGAAAGATTCAAGAACATTATTTGATAAACTTGTGATGGTAATTGCTGAATAAGAGCTTGCATCAACACCTACTAGTCTCCAACAAAATTAGTTGCGTCTAAAGTTGCATTTATGCTGTAGGGGCTGCTCAAGAGTCCAGGCTACAGGCTGAGATGGTTGTGGTCATCACTTTTAACGATGCTTATCCTTACTAGTTCAAACTGCAGGATCCTTTGAAATGACTAGGTTTGCTGGAACATTGCCCTGACACACATGACTTCTGTGAGGCATTGAATATATAATTGGTTTTAACTTTTCTCCATTTTGGGCAGGAAAAATTCCACCTGAGAGCACATTGATTTTCAACATTGACCTTCTAGAAATTAGAAATGGACCAAGATCTCATGAGTCATTCCAAGAGATGGATCTTAATGATGACTGGAAACTATCCAAGCAAGAGGTGAGTGGGTTATCCTTCTCTATGAGCAAATCTAACAGGGTGGGAGAGTGGAAAAGAATGCACATATATGCTGCACTGCTCTAGCCATGCATCCTAGTGAAAATTCTGGACTGGCAGTTCAAAAGGAGCCTTGGTAAGCTGAGGATAGACATGTGACTCATGTTCTGCATGCTTATTGAAGACTTGGATAAAGTAAAACATCTTAGAAATAAAAACAGACTTCAGGGCTTTTTAGATTGAATTGCTGATTTATTAATAAACTGGGATTTCTTCTACTGTAGGGCAATACTACTTCATGGCATTCGCACTGTAGAGCAATCCTGCTTCATAGCATTCACTCTGTGAAGGACATGTAGTCTGAAATATTCACCATCTGTTTGCCTCTCATTTTCAAACTTCCGCTTTTTTAGCAAAACTGATCCATGGGAAGCTAGTGTAAACACTGAGTTCTTATTGATTTGGGTCTGGTACCAGTTTACCAGACTCAGAAGGCTAATTAATCATTTGTACTCTGCATCAGACAGTGTCAGTGTGTGTAATGTCTGCATATTAGGAATGTAAGCAATAACCCTAACAACTCCCAGAGTTTGAAGTGATTAAAACAGACCTGAAACATGGCCTGCGGTTCTTATACAAGTGGTATCTGTTTAATAGATGAGTATGTTGGTTTTGTTATTTTTGTAGAAGGCTCTGCGATTCAGAATACTTGGGATCTCCATAGTTAAACATTAAAACCATATTAAAAGCAATGTGATGTTGTTGAAAACACTGCTTACCATTACTATCTAGCTTAATGTAAGTAGGTGTTCCAGTGGTCTGTTTAAAACCTGCCTTGGGTCTTCATCCATAAAAATTTTGAGATATCTAGAAAATTTTTAATGCACTTCCCATTGGAGCAGCAAACACTGAGATTGTAGACAGATTTCTATATACATCTGGGGTGGCTGTTTACATGTATCAGGGTTGTCAGGGTGCTAGAATGTGGAAAAGTTATTTGACCAGTTGGTAGCTAATAACTTCTGCCCAGCTCTTTTTACTTTACTGTATAGACATCAGAAGACAGGTTGTCCTGACTCATTTTTGAGAGTCAGATACCATAAAGGTATGGCAACAGCTTTGCTAGTGTTACTGTCACTTCTAAAGGCCCTTCATTCAAAGAGACTGCAGAATCAATTAGACAAGTATTATTCTGGCAGTGGCATAGGAGGGGAGGTATCTGTTATCTAATACCACTATCCTGAGCATAGTGTCCCTCTGTTATGCTGCAGAAACTCTTAAGTCTGAAAATGTTCACTCTCACCTTTTGTCCAACAGGTGAAAATTTACTTGAAGAAAGAATTTGAAAAGCATGGAGCAGTGGTAAATGACACCCAGCATGATGCTTTGGTTGAAGACATATTTGATAAAGAGGATGAAGACAGTGATGGGTTTATATCTGCAAGGGAATTCACATACAAGCACGATGAGCTGTAGAAAGAAAAGGGTGGCATAATTTTTTTTGACACAAATAGCGGTGACTTAGATTGTCTGGTTCTCGTGTCATCTTAGTTCTGTGTTTCAGAATTGACAATTGCTGTTGGCAAAGAAACACTTTGTTTATATAAAAGAGAATTTCTGTTATTATGTACAAATGTTTTAAACTATTTTAAAATGTGAAAATGTACCTCCTCTTATACAGCAAAGACTTGCACATCAGTGTTTTCAAAATTTTGTATTAAATTATTTTTCAGAAGTGAAACAAACTTTCCATTTATCATTCATTATGAAAATCAAAATGCAGTTCAGTGACTTTCTGTGATTTGTGTGCCAATATCATTTTGAGCAGCTACCTTATGTATTATTTGTATTCTGTGGCTGAATTACTTGACCTTCCTTCTTGAGTGTCACTGCTTAAAAAGCAGTTTACTGACCTTGGGTTTTTTTCCTGCAGTTTTTTAAAAGATGTAGTAGAACGCATCAGTTTATATGGCTGAGAAACTGACACAAAGCTGAATGAGAAGAATGATTATCATGTGCTGATTTTGCCTTTCTAAAGGGAGAGCGTTACCACCCGTGCCAATAATTGTCTGCATTTTTCCTTAAATTTTGTGAACAAAGCAGGAGTTGAATGTCAGACTTTCACTTCTACTGCCAGCAGTTCTAGGAAACATCTGTAATTTGGAAAGCAGCAAGTTGTGCTGCAGTGTAGAGGTGGTGTCTTTTAAATGTACACACACATTTGTTTTGAAACTCAGACTTGGCATTCACCAAAAAAGCTCATACCTTTCTCTCACAGTTTGAGGGGGGATCTTAAGCAGAATCTTACAAGTCTGAAGTTTTTCCTTTTTGCAGAAGAGAACGAGTGTACTGAGGGAGGATCAGTATGGTCTGAAGACCAGTTTCCATGGGCTTATCAGCTTTGCAGCTGTGTGAGTTGCAGAACTTGTTTCCTTGCCCCCCGCTTTGCAGCATTTTTTCACTAGTAGCACACAAGTGATATGAATTTTAAATGAAAAAGTGAATTTTTAGAAAAAAAGAGGTTTGAGGTAAGTGTTATAGTGCTGTGTCTAAACAGAGGTGGAGAGCATTAGGATTTCAAGCACAAAATTGGAGTTCAAAAAACTTTTTGGAGAAGAAGGAATATTTTGCAATTGCCAATGTTTTCTTAAATGAGAGGGGAGGGTGTCTCGGGTACAGAATTTATCCTGACATCACTAACCTATGGGTCTATGAAAACAGCATTGTACTTGAAAATGGTTGCCCAAAGCTATGTAAGGATGCAAAGCAATGAAAGTGAGATTGCTGCATTGCACTAACCCTTAACTATCATGAGCTGCTTTCAAGGCTCTCAGTGCTGTAGGTGTGTTAGATGTTTCCCTGCCATCTAGTGTTGCAACTGAGGATTAGGGGACTCCTTCGAACTGAGCTCAGCTGCAGAGGAGCATGTAGAGAGGCCTGTCAATAGTGACAACCAGGGTAAAAGAAAAGTTGTAAGTGAGGGTATGCAGTGCTGGGCTGTTCTGTTTTGGTTTTCTTCCTGCATCTGACATTTTGTGGGTGATGTTCTAAGTGACAGGAAATTGCAACCATGTATTTTGTTTTTAGTAACCTTAGGTCTTCTTCCTCAGCGATTGCCATCTGCTTTTCTTCAACCTAATAAAACTTTCACTTCTATGGCTATGAGTGTCAGTAAAATAGTGTAGGAAAGTGTTTCCCTTCTGTTTTAGGCTCATTTCCTGCCCTTATTTTTTTTACTGTGAAGAAATCATGAATAGTCATTACCTATTTAGCTGTTCTTACTAGTCATGGTTTTGCATATTGATTTTTTTTTACTCATCACTTACAAAAAATCAAGCTTGCCTGACTTTAGTTTGCCCAAGGCTGGTAGCATGTTCTGTGCTGGTCGTTTTGATTTCCCCTACAGTCACTGGAGCACTGGGCAGCTGGGGGCAGTTCACTGCACATGTGTTTGTCTTGTATTGAGATAGCTGCCTTACTAAATAGAGTCTTCCTCTGTTGACTTTGTGGGGAACCTAGACCAAGGGTCTAGCCTAGGCCAAGGGAGGATAACAGGATATGAAGTTGATCTTTAAGCTAGTTTTGCCCAGATGTGGGGACTGGCAGGTACCCAACCAACCGAAGGGGAAATACTCTGTGTGTGTGAGTGTCCTGCTGGGAAGAGCAGAACTGAGACTTTCAATTGGGTCTGAGAGGGTTTTAGATCATTGTTTACAGTGTTTCGCATGTTCTCAAAACATCTAGCTCTGGAATGAAAGCATAAAAGCATGGAATAGAATTTACCCATGTTACTGACCTAATACATTAAAAATTAAGATTAAATAATGGGGTGCCAATATGTGACTCCAGTAAGGGCCAGTGGTTTCTTTTGTATTAAATAGGAGTTTATAGTCAGTGAATGCTGTGAAATGTACATAGGCATAATCTTCTGCGTGGATTTCTAAAGCATTTCATTAAAATATCTTTCAGTGAGCATATATTTGTTAATGCCAGCAGAATGTTAAAGCTGCAAGACCAAGATGCCTTATTTGGTGTTGTGTATAGGTTTGTGCCAAATGAGAGTATGGTTTTTCTTAGTAATTTTCTTGAGAGCTATGTTAAATTCTGAAATTGAACTGAAAATGTTTTTTTTTAAGTGCAGAATCAGCAGCAGATTTGAGAAGTCACTTCAACTTGATTATCATTTGCCACCGTAAAAAGTCCTCCTGTGAAGATGAAAGGCTTTCTTAGGTAGAAATAGCACTGCCTGGTTTAACCTCGATTGCATTTGCTTGTTAATCCACAGGGCAAACTGCTGCTGTGCCAGCAGGAGCCAGCCAATAACACCAGAGCTAGGCAGCTGCCTGTCCCCCAAAGTGGGGAGGAATACTGGAACTTCAGTGGCAGTAACATTTTGGCTGGCTTGTGCATGAAGTGTGAGGTGTATTTCCCCTGAAGAAACAAACCCTCACTCTGCATATCTCTAAAACATGGCACTTGAAAAAGTGGAAAGGGCTCAAAACAGAGCACTTTCCTTCTGCATCCTATAGCCTTCTTCAAATATTTCTTGTTGGTTTGTGGTTATTTGGGAAAATATATGGTGATGTTTTTTAGAACTGCAGTCTGTCATTCACAGTCAGTACCTAACAATTACAGTGGGAGTTGCTGCCTTCTGTAGGTACAGAAGCAGGCTTCAGAGCACATTTTATTTGGAAATTTTTGATATGCAATGCAATGATACAAGAAAGCTTTTGGCAAAGCTTCAGGAATGCTACTTTAGTCTGAAATGTTTTTTAAATTTTTCTTTTTTTTTTTTGAGATAAACTGACAAGGCAAACAGAATGAATCACTTTATTTTGTCTTAAATCTTTTCAGTAACTTATGTCATAGAATTATAGAATCATTTATTTTGAAAAAGACCCTAAGATCATCCAATCCAACCGTTAACCCAGTACTGCCAAGTCCACCACTCAATCATGTCTGAGTGCCACATCTACATGTCTTTTGAATACCTGCAGGTGTTTCAATGGTTCCTCTACCACATTCCTGGGTGACCTCTCCCAATGCTTGACAACCCTTTACATGAAGAAATTTTTCCTAACATCCAAACTAAACCTCCCCTGGTACAACTTGAGGATGTTTTGTTTTGTCCTGTGCCTTGTTCCTTGGGAGAAAAGTTCTACCCTCACCTCGCTCATAACGTCTTGTCAGGCAGCTATAGAGAGTGAAAAGGTTTTCCCCCCTCAGCCTCCTTTTCTCTGGGCTAAACACTCCCAACTCCCTCAGCCACTCCTGGTCAGACTTGTGGTCCAGATCCTTGAGCAGCTTCATTCCCTTTTCTGGATGCACTGCAGCACTTCAATGTCTTCTAGTGAGAGGCCCAAAACTGAGCACAGGGTTTGAGATGCAACTCACCAGGGCTGAGTACAGGAGGACAATCATTGCCCTGGTCCTGCTGGCCACACTGCTGCTGATCCAAGCCAGGCTGCAGTTGGCCTGTTTGGCTACCTGGACTCACTCCTGGCTCATGTTCAGCTGCTGTAGACCACACCCCAGGTCCTTTCTCAGTGCTTTCCAGCACTCTGCCCCAGCCTGTAGCACTGCCTGGGGATGATGTGACCCAGCCCTTGGGGGTTGAACAGTTCAGTTGGACTCAGCCCATTCATCTAGGCTGTCCAGATCCCTCTGTAGGGCACGTCCTTGTGCTGCCAGGAACATCCCAAGCACAGAGTGTGTTTTGGTGAGTACAATATGTTAGAGAGTCATAAAATTGCAGCGTTAAGTACATATTGAAGAAATTGTTGCCATAATTTCTTCTTCATGATATCTTGAATGAAAGTGATACATACTTGATTTCATACAGGTGAGTACCAGCAGGATTGAGAAAGTTCACTGCTTTAGGGCATCTGGGAAAAGACACAAGCTAGGGAAAATGTCAGAGAGAATGGAATTTTGTAGAGTGAAGTGAGAAATACAAAAAGATTTCCTTCCCTAGATCCTTTGGTATCTGGTTACTTGGAAGAAAGAGCACTGGCAGCCACTGGTGTAGGGACTCCAAGTAATGAGGCTAGTTCCTGTTTTGATTTTGATTAGAAACTACTGCTTTGGGTAGTTCCTGTATGGAGTTTAAGGCAAAATTTAAATTCACACTTCCAAGGTTTGTTAAAGAGTTTTCAGAATAGGTATATTGAGTTTATGTCTTGAAAATACATTGGCATCATCATAGAGTTTTTGCAAAAACCCCTAAAACACAGCCCAAAACAGACTACCCCAAACCTCTTAATTTGTCTTCAATGCTGAATTGTTTTTGGTAACAGGAAATAAATCAAAACTGCTTATATTTGTATAATCCTGGATAATTTTAGCTCCTCTTGAAAGTTAATCGTAATGCTTACATTCTGTGTCCTAGTTTTCTCCGGGTTCATAGGAAAAACAACTCTGACAAAATAAAGATCTTTCTTTAGCTGTACTGCTTCTGTTTGCATGCCTGTGCTTGATTATGTCAACAGTTTCACACAAGAAATATAATTGACAATCTCAGTGGGAGGCTGTATAGGGGCAAGAACTTGGTTATCATCTCTTCCATCCTGGAGGGGATTCAGATGGAGGCTCCTACTGTATCACATTTCTTCCTCCTGGGAATTTTTGTTCCAAAAAAAAGTTGGCTTAGCTAGGGGTCATACCTGGTCAGAGAACATACGGTATTTCTGTTGAATCAAGTAAAAAAAGAAGGAGCTTGGTTTATCTGAGAAAATTGCCATGACAGAGGATAGTTTGAAACACAGCAGGTAAATAATTTTTTTGCAAATTTTCTGAAGGTCATATTCCTTGTAGGCTTGAGTTTGTCCAAAGAGTTAATATTTTTTTCTTTTTACTTTTTTTTTTCTTTTCTTTTCTTACAACAGCTTTGCATCTCCATTCAGTTAATAAGGATGAATTCACTTTTAAATATTAGGGTCTGACTGCAGAAATCCAGTGGAGCCAACTCTCAAAGCTCCCCAAATCCTAGCTATGTTTTCTTCTAAAAAATCTGAGGCTGATGCTAACTATCGTTAAGAGCTGCTCTTCATTTTAGACACGATGCTTCTAATTTCTAGTTTGTGTCATGACCTGCATAAGGAGATTAAATGATGCAGGATAATTGATTCCTCATCTGGGATTCAGACTGGAAGCATTAAATCAATTCTGTCCTCTTTCATGTTATTGCCATCAAAATTTCTTTAAAGCAGTTATGTTTCCTCTTCTGCCATTTTCCCTGAGTAGTGAACTAGATAATACCTATTTCTTCTGTGTGTTTGGCCTGCTCTCCCTCTGGGAGTGAATAGCATAGTTTACCTCTGGTCTCTCTAATCTGCTGGGATATCTCTTTAGAGAATAGGTTTTCATTCCATATATGCAGTACAAAATGGTTTTGGTGAACCTGTGTCCATCTCTGGGTATGGACTAATTGTAGTTGAAAGAAATTCATGACCCATTGAATTTTACTATTAGCAACACTAACAGAATACTTAAGAGAGACAAGACTGGTGGTCTTCCTTCGTTTTTACAGAAAGTGAGAATTTACCTTTGCGACCAGTATCTCAGCCCTTATGTGCCATCATGTTTGTACTGCTGTTGTCACTACCAGCAGCTGGGTTAAAAAAAACCTGGGCTTCACATGTTTACGTGGACAAAGTGCTGTGCAGTGCACTCTTACCAAAATAAATCATGCTGACTCCTTTTCTTTATGTGGGAAATGCCAAATCTTTACTCACATCACTTGTTTTATAGCGTTTTCACAGACGTCATGTGCAACAGGTATTGGCATCTATCAACATTCATTTATAATGCAACATCTATCTTCATTGATTGGTCTGAAGGTGATTTGTGTGTACGTGCTAAGGTTCAGGACGTTTGCATTTTTCTTTTGTGGGTTCTAATGGAACAGACCTAATGTTTATGCAGGTGCACTTATTTTTTACCCAATAATAGGTTGTTTCGTTAACCAACTAATCATACTGATTGTTTTTGCATGGGAACTTACAAAGTACTAGCTGCACTTGGAAGAAAAGACAGGCTAGCTATTGATTTAACAGAGCAGGCCTGAGTTTATGAGACCTTTCTTTTATAATTTTTCTACCTGTCTGCAACACACTCTGATGCAATCCAACACTCCACCACCGCAAAACAGTCTGAAGCAAAGCTTCCAGCCACGCGGTGCTCATCTTGCAGCTGACAAATGAGCACCAACTGCAGTGGGAGCACTTGTGGAGCAGAGGCAGCCATTCCAATGCCTTAAGTACCAGATTCTGCTCCTGCCAAGCCCAGCTCACCAGGGCACCTTTTGAAAGAGCCACAAACTGCACCCATGCACTGCTGGGGCTGTGTGGGGTGGGCTCTAGGACACCAGTTCTGCTCTGCCAGACCCTCTGCTGGCTTTGGACCTTCACACTTTGTTTCCTGAGCAGGCAGCTGTCAGTGGGATGTGTCAGAGCCTCAGGACAGACTGGAGTGGCACCAGCCAGGCTCGTGTTGTCACACCACTTCTTCACACCAGTAAAGATACAGGCAGGCTTGGAGAAAACACCAGGGCCCTTGGGCTGGCAGGGAATAGCAGAGAAGATAAGCAGGGGAATATCTCTCCATACCATTCACTTTTTCTTGGCTGATAGCCACAGCAAATATGAGGAAATTTAAAAACTCCTGGGTAATTTATTATTTACATTTCTCTGTTAAAATACCTACATATTGTGCAATCAGCATGAAACTTACAATTCAGTGTGAGCTTTGTAATTTTGCCCATCTATTAACTACTGTTGTAGTTGTTAACTACTATTCCACTTGTACTTTGTGATACAGACAACAGAGATACTCAGTTGTGAACATTTTAGAAAACACATTTTTACTCTCCTTTTGGACGTACAGAATCCAAAAATACTTTATTAATTTTAATTAGAATATTTCTGTTATGAGTGATCTCTTCCCACCTTGCAGTTATCTACCCCTTCCATGAATAAGGAAAATGGCTTAATCATGGAGAGAGTTTTTGGAGTCAGAACTTCTTGAAGGCACGTTACAAAAAAACAAAACAAAACTCTCAAAGTTTTAAGTCTCCTGGAAAGTGCTGCAGTAAAAACATCTGTAGCCCAGGAAAGACATGCCACTGCTCACAGTCCCCCGTGAATGATGTGTATGGAAGGAGGGAAAAAGTTGCTGACACATGCATAACTTTTAGGAGAGCTCAGCAGACCTGTTGCTGTGGTTACTAACCAGAGCCTCCCCTGAAAGAGTGCTATTTGCACTGCACCAGATGGCTGATAAATCACACAGCGGAATTTGCTGTCCCTTGTGTTACTGTCCGATCTTTTCTCCAAGCACTATGATTTAATTTGCAGCAATTCACACAAAGATTATTTAGTCATGACACACTAATATAAGACATGAAACTACTGCAGGTGTGCAGTCACTTTAATGAACTCCTGTACCACCTGCGTAACACCAAAAATGTATTTTGTTTTATGTACTGATGTTCACGTTGCTGCAATTCGATGAACAATGCTAAGCTGAGGAAAAAAAGCCTATGCCTGACTTTTAATATAATTTTAATAACATAGTTACTGTAGCACATTTATTGCAGAGGAAAGTGAGATGCTTTTTGCAGTTCATTGGCCTGCCACAAGTATTTCTGTACAGGCAGCATCAAAAACCATGAAGCGTAGATGAAGATTAAACACGCTCATTGCATAAGAAAGTAATGCTGTTGCCTCTGTATTTTCTGCTACTTTATTGTCATGACTGCCTTACCCTCTCAGGATGACAGTCCACCTGCCTGGACTATTTATTATTATGAGTCTTTAGCTATTGTCAAGTGCTTTAGCCTTATTGATAAAAGTGGCATTCTAACACATTAAAAAAGCCAATAATAGTAAGTGTGTCTTGTGATACACTTTAGAATTACAAACATAAATATTATGTCCCAGATTTCTGTGAATTAAAATATGGAAAACTACAAAATTAATGAAAACAAAGCCAGAGACTGATGATTTTTTTTTTTTTTTTTTTTTTTTTTTTTTTTTGATACAAAATTACTCCAGAAGTAGGCAACCTACTTGACTGGGCAATGGAGCAGCTTGGCTGTGTGAGTCAGTGCTGCTGTGCCTAAGAGGTTTCTGGACACTGAGAGTAACTGCAGCATGCCTGGAGTCCTTGCAGCACTCTGTCCCTGTCACACTGAGGAGTCGTGTTCTGTTCTGTCACTTGTGTAATGGGGATATGAATCACCTTCCGTGGTGCATGAGTAAGAGCTCAGCATCTAAGCCTGCCGTTGTGCCTACAGTCACATTTTATGTACAGCTGCAGACATTTCCATAGATTAAACTTCAATGGCATAATTGGATAAAGAGGCTGCAGCCAGGATTTCTCCTATCTTTTTCATTTTGAACATTCACAGAGCTCAGCAAGTGACATCTTTATTTTACATCATAATCTAGCACCTGCCATCCTTTTTCTTTGTTATAGATGGAAGCCACCTTTACTGTGGGAGAATTACTCTCAATTCTCTGGTCCAGACTTCTGACTATATAAAAATACCCCAAAACACCCAAGTACCATTGATACTTCTTGCTCTTTAGGTTCATTCTATGACATCAGTTCAATTTACTGGACTATGATGTAACTATCATCTAGAGTCTGACAGGCATTTTCAATGTTACTCTTCTGTATATAAGGAGCTTTTTTTCCCTGTAATTCACTCTAAGAGGAATCATTAAAGTTTAGTGGGATGCCTTTTTGGATTTAGACTTAGATTGCCTTTAGCAATCAAGTACATTTCTTCTGAACAACCTGAGTTCATCTGATTTTTAGGTACTCCAAATCAGTGTTCCACCAGAAAAAAACACAACTAAGACGGTGCCCTGAAATCACAAAAATGAATACCAACGAAAAGCTTTTCTTGGCTGTACTACCCTTCCACCAAAATCTACCATTTCCATCCTATTAATATAATTTCAACACTTAGATGGCATTTTCTACCATCTACATTAAGTCAACTTCACTCCTAAACACAGTTTATTGAGAAAATGAGTCCCATCCGTTGTATGTCTGCATGTCTGATGACTTGAACTTGCAGGGGAAAGTATTTTGGAAATGATGAAACAAAGACTGGTGCTGCAGTGTCTTGATAATTTTGGGGTACTAGTTCTGCTGAATTAGCTTTGATCTCCAACTAAGGAGGTGGTTAAAGAAAAACAAAAACCCACTGTAACTTAAGCTGTATATTGTAATGTCTGCCTTTTGTTATCTTCCTTTCACATATAAAACATGGAAGAAATATTCTTTGAAATTCTCTTTTCTAAAGAGGTGTCCTTTCTGCTCTTCCTCCTTGGTTTTGCATCCCATTGGAAACCAACCCTTTACAAGAGAAAAAAGCATTTATAAAATCCATACATTCTGCTGTTATGTTTTAAAAAAGGAAATAATCAATAGATAAGC